ATGGAGACGTGTAAAAAAGGTGGTCGTGAACCAACAACTGTCACTTATGAGAGCGCTGTCAGGCTGCAGCAAAAGCATGTTGGCACACAGAGAGTTGGAAAGTACATTCACTCAAGTACTGAACACATTTAAGGGACTTTACTTGAGGGTTTCAATTTGAAGACATACTTGAATAATCCCTAAGGGGAAATTAGATATGAACTCTACTGTTTTTACATCACTTCACTTATAGGACGGACATACACATGCACAAACAGGACCTGAACACACCAGCTACCAGTCCACCCTCTAGTTGGTAGCAAATATTGTAGTTTTTATAACAATATTGGATTTTACACCACTCAATTAGTTTGACATGAATTACTTCTTATGAATTGTTCCCAGGCCAACGACTATTGTACTTTTAATTCTTCTTTTAGTTATTTTTTCTGATCACGCCTTGAACCAGCGACTCTCATATTCCTACATCAACAAGTATTATCATTTTTACTCCACTACATTTTTGGACATGAGTTCCTTGGTTCGATCTGGACATGAACAGTAGACCCTTCGGTTCCCAGGCGGCTACATTTAAAACAAAACATTATTTACCTGGCCCAAATGTGCCTTGAACCAGCGTCCTGTCGGAACCTAAACCAACAAATCATTTTGACGACAGAATGACTTTGTCTGATTGGGACTTGAACCCTGAAGCCTGAAGTTCCCAGGCCAACAAGTATTGCTCTTTTAACCCGACACTCGTTAAATGGGCCGTTTGGGACTTGAACCGGTGAGCCTTCAGTTCCCAAACTAACTATTATTGTAATTTTAACTTCACTACATTTACTTACAATGTTGTTACTTGGTCCAATCGGGACTTGAACTTGAAACCCTTTGGTTCCCAAGCCAATCCCATCCCTACAGACTGAGCCTCTGCTGCTAGGTTGTACTTTCCCTCCTCTACAATTTGAAGCAAATATTCTACTTTTTACTCCATTAGATTTAATTGTCAACATTAAATGCTTCGTAATTTCAAATTATTAAAGAGGCCGTTTTATGCTTTTTAAGGTTTTCCGCTTCTTGTAGTGTGTTATGTTATATAGGTTTAGGTGTATGTAAAAGGCTACAATCTCATTGTTCCCCTGCCTGAAACGCCTCCATTGGACGTTACTTCTGTAACATCATTATGTAACACTCGTGCTTCTATTGGCTACCGCTCCAACACATTGAACGTGAGCGTGAACATCTCTAAGCAGTTGACCAATCACAACAGAGCAGGACAATCAGAGCAGACAGGGCTCTGGTTTCAGACAGAGGGTGAAAAGAGGTGCCGCAAGTTGTTTTTCTATCAGAAAATAGATCCCCCTAAGTGATGCCCATGTGTCTAAATCTAGGATACTACATTTTGAGGAGATCAGGAGTTTTTGCAGTTCACTCCAAATAACCAGCAACGTGATGAGATTAGACGTCGATGTGTGTCTGAAGTGGCGTCCCCTGACATCAGTGGAGCTATGAGACCCCGTAATGAGGCACCAAACAGGACCAAATGGCCTCTAAATAAAACATGTGTTGGAAAATAGAAAGTGGAGTCAGGTGTCCTTGGGAGAGTGACAGTTCTCCCGCTTTCTCCCCCCCCCCCCCCCCCCCCCACTCCCCCCTCTATTTCTCTCTCTCTCTCTTTCTCTCTCGCCTTTTTTGCATCCCCTCGCGGAAACCTAAATGACTTTTCCCGACACGCATCGAGCGTTCCCGGGCTTTCTGCGCTCCGCCGCCCGGAACATGCAGGCATCAGTAAACAATGAAATCTCGGAGCTGAAATTGAATTTATAACCACATTACCTGCACAGATAACGTCTCTGAATGGCGCCGCGATAAGAGCATTGGGATTTGATTTTCAGGTGTTTTATTGGTCCACTTTTTGGATGAGCCCCCCCTCTTCCCTCTCCGACTACAGCCTCTCCCCCCCCCCACACTCAACAATTCACCTCTGCTCCACACAAACATCAGATTTAATAGTGTGGGAGGGGCCATGTTTGCAATGTATGGATGAGTGTGTGTATGTGCAGGGTTGGGAGGGTTACTTTAAAAGTCTATTCTGATAACAATTAATTACCTTTTTAATCAACATTTTGTAGTATCAGATCATTTAAATAATATTTGTCTGGTACTGTAACAGAAAACAGTTACTAATAATCCCTCTACATGTATTCTGTTACTCCAAAAGCCGGAAAAATACTCTGTTACAACCAAGTACCAAACCCTTTCAGGAAACAATATATATTAAATGACTGGAATATAATAAGTGAGTTGCTTGTGTAAGATGCTGAAGCTGTTTTTAAGAATATTTGCCTTCCTCGTTCTTACTTTGTTAGCCTTAAATCTTAAAAAAAGGTATTTTCCAGATACATTTCTGTCAGAGACACATTGGTCTAAGCCAGGTTACTTATTTTGAAGGAATTATTTGTACTTGCAAAGTAAAAAATGTGTTTCAAATCACATGGGCTCCATTAACATCATGACATTAATTCCCAAAGTATTAACAAATCTGCCTTTTTTTTTTGCTTACTTCAAGACATTGGTCACTTTTCTAGAATCTATATATTATTCTTATTTCAAAAGTTAGCTTAAAAAAATCCTATTAAGTGTAATCGTCTCACTGCACGGTCAGATTATAACACTTTTCAAATCTGTATCTACTCAAAACACATATTTTCTTGTTTTAAGATGGATGTCTTTCAGCTGGGGGAGAGTTTTATTCCAGTGTTTGTAAAACAGGATCCTAAACGAATGGCTCAGTCCTCCGTGCTCCTCACTTAGTGGAACATTTGTGTATTTAAAAGTGTTAAATTGTTCCAGCTGTGCCATTTGTTTTGTGACCGTGCAGAGATGGGGAATTATGTGCATCTTGCCTACTAGCAGTGTGCGTGTGATTGATGGCTTTCAGGAGTAAATCACCTCATCTACTAGGTAAAATCTTGATATAGTGGAGCTCCTCGGCTCCCAGCTGGCTGCTTATCGCTGTAATCCATCAGCGGGGCCCAATGGGGCGAGGGCCCCTCATGGGTAATGTTCCTATTGACAGCCTATGATGTCAACACACTGACAGCAGGGGGCCATCGCAGTCTGTCTGTGTGTTTATCGTGTGTGTGTGTGTGTGTGTGGCTGCTTCTCAATTGCGAGTACGCTTGCTTGGTAGCACATGTCTGCCGAGCATCTTGCTTCAGAAGCGAGTCAAGAATACTTCCTGACATTTGGAAAACAAAGAGTGGAACAGGCTAGCAAGTGTGCAGGTGTGCGTCATATGAGAGGCCCCGCCTTATATTTTCCGTCACAGATTTGGGGAAATTGGTCCGTGCGCAAAGCATTGTGGGGATTTTAAGACCGCGAAGTCTACTCATGTGCAGCCTCGATATTTCTCCAAACGGAGTACGCCGGGCTCGGTAGATTTCCAAGTATACTGGAGATTGGAACAGTACTTCGGCGGCACTCGATGACGTAGTATGCTTGAAATAGTGGCTCTGCAGCAGCTTTACTCGCGATTGAGAAACACCCCGAGTGTGTGTGTAACCTTGTTTTACTCTCACTGCCACAGTCTGTCAATAGTACACACAGGTCTACTGAGGGTGTGCTCACCTGCAGAAATCATACTATTATGTTAAGTGTTGCTGTAGTGGAAACACATTTGTCTGAACACTGATTGCTATATGCAAAAAAAAAGTTAATTACTGCACACATTTTATTTTTGTTTTAGTTTGGAGTCCACTTTACCTTAAAGGTGGGGTAGGTAAGTTTGAGAAACCGGCTCAAGATCGCTAGAATTTGAAAATACACAACCGGAAAAAATCTGCCACTTCCTTACAGAGCCCCTCCTCCAACACACACGAACGCGCACATGACCAATGAGGGCACGAGATAAGTTTGTGCACAGATGGAAGGCTGACAGGCAGGTAGGCCATCCAGTTATTTTAGCCGGGCCGGCTCAGATGATTGGTCGTGCTTTTTACAGCGCCACGGCTTCCACAGATGATATTTTTTTATGGATTTATTGTCAAAGCATTTAAGATATTCATTGCTATCGGGATGTTAAGAGCATTCCATGGAATATAACAAAAAGTGTATCTCGAGCCGGTTTCTCAAACTTACCCTACCTTTAAGGGTGTGAATATAGTTGACTTATTTCTGCATTTTACTTCCACCATTGTTTCACTTGCACTATTTTACTTCTTTAGTTCTTTGTAGGTTTGGGATTTAAGATTTTCCTTGCCAAATAATACAAAAATATGACAAAAAGGCCTATTACAAATCCTGGGGTACCATTGGAAAATAATCGTCGCCGTTTCAGAGCTTGATGAATGTATAATTCATAGTTGATATGTAATTCCAAAGCCTATAATCATAATGGAATTAATACACAATTTGATAGTAATTTCCATCTTTTTCTGAGCAAGAGTTTTGTGCAGAAAGATCTAAACACCCTTCCAATACAGAGTACAGTTTAGTGATAGGATCAAAGAAAATCCTGGGCTATTAAATGCAGTTTTACCATGTACACACTTACAGTAAGTGGCTCAGTGTTCAAAGGAACTAATTATCTAACTTGGACGTCGAGGTATACTGTTCGGTAAGAAAGTAGGTAAAGGAATACCAATCGCTTTCTAAAGGGGAAAGAATCGCTCCCTTTTGAATAAAGAAAACGCTGCTCATTGCCTCTCTGTGGTAAACTGTTGTAGTCTCTGCTGCAACGATCATATTTTTCTGAAAAAGCAAGCCAACATGAAAAAATCACACGACAGTTAAATTAGTTTTATGTATTTATTTAAACAAGGACCATGCATACAAATACATTCATCTCAGAAAAGAGAAAGGGTGTAATATAACATGATAAGTGCTCACACATGAGTACTAGGATGCTACTGTTGCTGTTTGTCTGTCTTTGTCGTTGTTTGTTGTTATTGTTTTGTTGTGTTGTCCCTAATGTTTCCATCTGCAGGCCTCCTTTAACTCCCTCTCTCTCTCCTCAGGTAAAGTGAAGGCTCTGTACGACGCCCAGGCTCCGATGTGTCCGGTGTGTCAGGCTGTTCTCAGACCAGCAGATCTGCAGGAGCACATGCAGCAGGAACTCACCAAACTGGCACACACACAAATCAGGTATCACCATCTGAATCCACTTCAATCACATTACACATAATCCTTCTGCTGTCTTGATTTGAGCCTGTGAGTTTTATCCAGAAATCTCCTCCTGGTTAATCACGCCCTTCCTCAAACAATTTCCTATCCACTTCTCTCTTCATCATTTACCCATTTGTCATTGTATTCCTCTTTTGCATCCCTATTTATGTCCCCCTTTCAGGTGATATTAAACGTTGACAGATTTTGTCGCTGTAAGCCCCCCCCCTCTTCCCCCTCGAGGTGGTTTCTCCCGTCTCCTCTGTCACCTGTTTACAAGCCGCCTCATTGTTCCCTACATATTTCATATCACAGCCCCCGGCCTCCAGGCGACCAATCACACAGCAGGGGGGGGGGGGGGATAATGTCCCACTAATGGCTGCTTTGAGCCCGACACACACATATACACACACACACACACACACACACACATGGAGGCACACACACATTACCTGCTGCTTAGACCAGAAGAATGATTCCTCCAATAAAGACATTACACTCCAAATCTGCTTAACGACCGCTCCGTGGACAGTAATGGTTTCAAATTGAACTTGGCCCACGGGGACACTGTGTGTGTGTGTGTGTGTGTGTGTGTGTGTGTGTGTGTGTGTGTGTGTGTGTGTGTGTGTGTGTGTGTGTGTGTGTGTGTGTGTGTGTGTGTGTGTGTGTGTGTGTGTGTGTGTGTGTGTGTGTGTGTGTGTGTGTGTGTGTGTGTGTGTGTGTGTGTGTGTGTGTGTTAGACATAAAGTGAGAAAGAGTAAAATGAGGTTATACACAGACACAAATGTAGACAAGAGTAAAGCAGAGGGACATTTAAAAGACAATATTGAGTTTGTATGTTTTATAGGAACACAGTGTAGCTGATTTGTGTGTGGCTTCTATTCCTAAAGGGGCCATACTCTGCTCATGTTCAGGTTCATACAGTATTTATATGTAGTGTCTCTACTGGGACATGTCTCCGTGCTTTAATGTTCAAAAAGCTCTTTATTTTTCTCATACTGCCTGTGCTGTAGCACCTCTTTTCACCCTCTGTCTGAAACCAGAGCCCAGTCTGCTCTGATTGGTTAGCTGGCCGGCTCTGTCAACCAGCTTAAAGATGTCCCACCCCTTAGCCTATCACGTACAATGTGTTGGAGCGCTAGCCAATAGAAGCGCGCGTGTTACATATTTATATCACTATGCTTAGGAAGTAAACAAAGGAGACCAATGGAGGCGTTTTAGGCAGGGGAACTTTTCATTTTAGCCTCTGCAGACTATTTACATGCATTAAAACCTGTATAACCCACTACAGGAAAGGGCTTTTTATAACATGTGACCGTCTCTCTCTCTGCAGTGTGACCTCAGTGCAGCACAGCCACCTGATGAGGACGCCCAAGGTAAGACATTTCATATCCTGCTTGTGAGTTTTCAGAGAGATTAGTTGATTTAATCCTTCATTTGACTTTTGTTGTTTCTCCTTTTTCTGTCTAGTCTCTTTCCCTCTCTCTTCATATCAAACGTGAAGCAGGGTCTCCCACCTCCCCCCCTCGAACATCTGAGGACATCCACTCTGACCGATACCAGGTGAGGATACAACATATATTATAAAGAGAAACATGAGGGATATAATGTGTGTTTTTCTATAGATTTAGAAGTTCAAATGGATTAATGCATCCTGTATTTCCTCAACATGTACGAGCATTTGTTAAAGACTTCAATAAGAGTAAGAAGGTTTTATTTGTCAGGTTCATACACCCCCAAACATGTCTACTGTTGATTAGTGCTCTGTATAAGCACTGGACAAAGAGTAGTCAGTAGCATCATAAAAAAAATTTTTTTAGGGTGTGTGTGTGTGTGTGTGTGTGTGTGTGTGTGTGTGTGTGTGTGTGTGTGTGTGTGTGTGTGTGTGTGTGTCCATGTGTGTGTGTGTGTGTGTGTGTGTGTGTGTGTGTGTGTGTGTCCATGTGTGTGTGTGTGTGTGTGTGTGTGTGTGTGTGTGTGTGTGTGTGTGTGTGTGTGTGTGTGTGTGTGTGTGTGTGTGTGTGTGTGTGTGTGTGTGTGTGTGTGTGTGTGTGTGTGTGTGTGTGTGTGTGTGTGTGTGTGTGTATGGTCTGGCGTTGATCAAACACTGCTCTCACTTTCAACACGGAGCTTCAAAGTTACTCAGGAGTCAGTGAGTGCAGTCTACTTCAGTTATATTGCTCAAAGGGGAAAACTGTTTTCAAAGACTTTATAAACTCTTAATGAGTTAAGGGGAAAAATGAATAATAATTAAATACACATATATACAAATTAAGAAGATTTTTGAAGAGAGGCAAAGGTCAAATGTGGTTCATGTATTCCAGTGGAAATATAATTGAAGAGATTGTTTTAACCCAGAGGTGTAAAGTAAGTCGATTTATTCAAGTACTGTACTTAAGTACAATTTTGAGATACTTGTAGTATAGTTTGCTACTTTGTACTTCTACTCCACTACATGTATGTAATACCTTTAGTTACTTTACAGATGTGGATGAATGATGTGAAATATAATCAAGTGTTAAATCAGACTTTAGTTCCACCTGGAGTAAATTCACAAGCTACCCTGCAGTATACAAAGTCATTCAAACTAGCTGCACCTTTACCAGCTTTGAGAACACTTTCATGATCAATCATTATAAAACATATCATATATATTATTCTGAAATGGACCAATCTGCACAATGACTACTTTTACTGTCGCTACTTTCACTATATTTTGATGATAATACTTTTATACTTTTACTTGAGGAACATTTTGAATGCAGGACTTTTACTGTAACAGAGTATTCCTATACTCTGGTACTTCTACTTTTACTCAAGTACAAGATCTGAGTACTTCTACTTTTACTCAAGTGCAAGACCTGAGTACTTCTACTTTTACTCAAGTACCAGATCTGAGTACTTCTACTTTTACTCAAGTACATGATCTGAGTACTTCTACTTTTACTCAAGTGCAAGACCTGAGTACTTCTACTTTTACTCAAGTACCAGATCTAAGTACTTCTACTTGTACTCAAGTACATGATCTGAGTACTTCTCCCACCTCTTTCTAAACCAAACATGAAATGACCATCATGGTATTTCCTGTGTTTCAGACGTTCCTGCGTGTGCGGGCCAACAGACACACCCGACTGAACGGTAAGCCTCACTAAATGTTGTTTCTCTGCTGACTCAGTTCAGTCCTCTCTTAGACGGCTTTTAATTTGGAAAAACTAAAGAGTCAGAGTTCTTTTAAATCATTCTAGTCTCCATTGTCCCCCCCCCTCACCCCCCCCCACACCCCTCACTCTTTAGTTAGATATCTCCCCTTTTCCCACACCATCTCCACCATCTCCACCGGCCTAGCGCCCACACGAGCAGAGGAGCTATTAACCTTTGACCTCTGACCTCTTGATATGTTAACAGTCGATGACCTCTGCTGGTGCAGGTGCTACGTCAAATCCGCCCCATTACGCCCCCACAGCGCAGGAGCCCACCTAGACTGCATACGAGCCGGTAAGACACCCCGAGGAGCACTTTGTCCGTCAGCACGTTTTACACCAGGAGCGATAGTTAAATATATTCAGCTGTGGAGCCTCAGCTCTCTGACAGGCAGCTACAAAACCACACAGGATTTACAAACTAAGCAGTAAAAGTCATGAGAGGATGTGACGGCAACGACAAATATTGCCTTAAGCGATTAATTTAGCTAGTTTTTGTTTTAGATTCTCATCATTTGCTACTTGAAAAATTGTCAGAAAAATGTGTTCATCCCAGTCAAAGTTTCGATGTATGGTTTTGTTTTGTCAGTCGGAAACCCAAAGATAGAAGTTTAAATGTGATGTGGAAGAGAAAAGCAATACAATCGCAATTTAAAACATCATTTATGGGCCGATTTTGCATCCAAAATTACCTTAAAATTGACCAACCATTTTTGAGTCAATCTGCTTATTGAACATTTGTCTAACGTTGACAGCTCTAAGACAGAAGGCCAATGTATTCTCGAGTATTATTAAACCGTAATTAGTACCATAATTGATCAAGTACTGATATAAGGAACCAGTTAAAAGGGGGATGAACTATTGGATATGTAAACAATATCCTGACCGTCAGAGCCTTAAAGGGGACCTATCATGCAAAATGCACTTTTGTACGTCTTGTATACATGAATATGTGTCCCCGGTGTTCCAGGGAACTCACCAAGTGTCAGAAAACACAACCCTCTCTATTTTCCTCCATACCCAAATCTCTAAAAAAGGGGCTGCAACGGATCTGATAAAAACTGATCCAGATTTGAACACTGTCCTGACGTCAGGACGGTGGCGCTACGGCTATTGGGCCAACTCCACCAATCAGGAGGAGACAGCCACGGCCATTGCCGTTCGAAAGCGCTGGAGACGCTGTAGTACATATGCCAGGCCTGTAGATGGTGCTGTTCTCACTGAATCAGCCCTTGCAAAAACAGAGCTAAAAAATTTCAAATTGAGCAAAATGAGGCATGGCTAAAATGCATGATCTGTTTGGTATTTTGAAAAAAAAAAAGTATAAATATGCCTTATATAGGTATGGTCCTACACTATATTATTCAAATATAGCATGATAGGTCCACTTTAAGGTAAAAAACAGGCTTTGGTTAACGCCATTATTAAAAGCATTTCTTGAAACTTACAATAAAACCTTTGCAACAACACTGGAAAGAGATTGCTTAAGCTTGCGAAGAATACTTTGAAGAAAACTTTTATTTTAGGTATTTCCCCCCCCCCCCCTTCTTCTTCTTCAGTGTTTTTAAAAGTATAGCAGAGGTCTCTGATACAGACGTCTCTGCTGTCATCATCTCGCTGACTCTCCAAACTGTCCAGCTCTCTTACTGTAGTCTTTCTCGGGTCTTATAACAGGACGGCATAATGAGCTTCTAAATACATGTCAGTGAGGAGAAAGAAGGGGGGGGGGTCCTCTGTTGATTAATCAACCTCTCTCCCTCTGTGTTTGATGAGCTCTTCCTCATCTATGACCGTCTCTTTAACCCTCATTATGTTCGCTGCGATGGAGGCTCCCGGGTCACGGCCACCAGCTCTCTCTCTCTCTCTCACTGTGTGTGTGTGTGTGTGTGTGTGTGTGTGTGTGTGTGTGTGTGTGTGTGTGTGTGTGTGTGTGTGTGTGTGTGTGTGTGTGTGTGTGTGTGTGTGTGTGTGTGTGTGTGTGTGTGTGTGTGTGTGTGTGTGTGTGTGTGTGTGTGTGTGTGTGTCTCCACTAACCGGAGGGGCCCCACTGTCATCCAGCAGGAATTAGAGGACCCTAAAACTTAATGTCCCCTTATGCAATCTGCAGTCAGTCAGGTCACAGCGGGAGGAGGGGCAGTTGGTGTTCTGCCATGTTAACTTTTATATCTGAGAGTGTGTGTGTGTGTGTGTGTGTGTGTGTGTGTGTGTGTGTGTGTGTGTGTGTGTGTGTGTGTGTGTGTGTGTGTGTGTGTGTGTACAAAAAAATCTATGAAATCTGCATTTCCTTTTCACATTTGCTCGAGTTGAATTCACAGCAGACAGAGCTGAAACAGGCTGAACAACTCAAAGACATTCAATCCAAATGATATTTTAGTAATGCCCGTCATATCAGCTATTCTTCCCATATGAATAACTATTCATGATTAAAGGAAAATAACAGAAACAATCTTCTTTTTCACATTTCACAAGTTTAGTTTTAGAAAGGCAGTGATAAGACAGATTTGGAAACTCAATCCAAATCTCGTTGAGTAATGTTGATCATATGAGCTATTCTTTGCATATGAATATTCACGCATAATTAAAGTAATAATATTTATATTCAGAAATATTGTGGCTCACAAATCTCCCTATTTAATTCTTTATAATTTAAGCCCTGATATCTTTTTTGAAAATTACAATTTAAACCACTAAAGTACACAATTACAAGAACCCTGAAACAGACAGAGTTTAGGAAAACCTGTCTTTAACAAGGAAGACTGATATCAATGAAATACACATCCTTGTATCTCAGAAGAAAGTCAGACAACCGTACCTTCTGCCATTGTGAACATATACATTACCCTCCTTTAAGTCCCCTTACTTCCCCCCTAATGACTCCATAATGTTTTCTTTTTGTGGGAGAAATACACATTTCTATCTCATACACAGAGCACATGTCTCTAAATGTCATGGAAACCCTCTACATTTGAGAGTGATTAAGGGACCGACTTAAAGTCACTGTGGCCCGATTTAAAAGTCCCTGCATCTTATGTGATCTCCTTTCTGTTTCCAGTGAAGATCGGGAAGCTGAAGAGAAGGAAACCAGAAGATGGACAGGTGCGTGTTTCACTCTTTTTCCCCCCCGAGAAAAGACAGATGATTGTTTCCCTGACATTTCCATTGTAATGGGAGACGGGCTGCTTTTGTTCTCGTGGCATCAGGATCACTGTCAGCCGCTGTGTATCCATGTGAACACCGCTATGAAAACACAGATCAGATACGTAGCTCCGGGCTGCACCAGGCATATGGACGCATGAGTGTGTACTTATGATCGTGTGTGTGTGTGTGTGTGTGTGTGTGTGTGTGTGTGTGTGTGTGTTTTATAGGAGGGCTCAGCGGACTTGGTGCCGCTGCGGGACGAGTGGAACGAGAGGAGAAGGATGCAGATGTCGTCCTTAGTGGGAGGGTTCAAAGGTAAATCTGTGTGTAAAGGGTGTGTGTGTGTAAAGTGTGTGTGTGTGGTAGAGGTATCTGTGTGTAAAGTGTGTGTGTGGTAGAAGTACCCATGTGTGAGATGTGTGTGCAGTGGAGGGGGGATGATGTGAGTGAGTGACAGTCGGAAAGCCACTGAACTTTTCAGTCCGGATTACAGAGGAGAGCGATGCCTCCGAGGGTCAGATTTAAAGAAACGGTTTGTTTAGCGGAGGAGGAAGATCTGACCTGCAGACAGAAACACACGCAGAACATTTTGTGACTTCTATATTTGTCTTAATGTCATATCAAATGAAACACAGTCTTTACTTTGTCTTGACTTTTTCAAAATAAGTTTATTCATTTGACAGGTACAATTTCATACAACAAATAAATGCATTTAAACCTATACAAAAAGAATGAAATAAATAAAATAAAATATGTATGTGTCCTTTCACAATCAGTCCTTCCTACCCCTCACTCACCAGTCCTTGAATCGTGTCCTCAGGAGCCGTGTTGGTGAGCTCGACCTCTAAAGAGTGTCAAAGAGACAGCGACGCAGACCTGGACGTGGACGGAGACGACACTCTGGAGTACGGCCGGGCGCAGTATCCTTTCACACAGAATAAACTCTGAATATAACTGTGTATCTAAGGTTTAAAGCACCAGCTACCTACAAGTCTGAAAAGTGAAGCCAATGAAGAAGTGATAGAAAACTGCTATATCTCTAATGTCCAGCAGGGGGCGACATAGAAGTCTGATTGTATAGAAGTCTATGAGAAAATGACCCGACTTCTCACTTGATTTATTCATTCAGTAAACATGTTCCTGATGAGTTTATGGTCTCAATCTGTAGTTTAAAGTCTCCTTCAAAACAGTATGATGGTCATTGAGTGAATTATGGTCCCATTTAGAGTGAAATAGATGATAAAGGTTGGGGGTTACCTTACAGTTGACAGGTCGCTACGACACTTGCAGACCCGGCGCCGTGGGAGAGGGCCAGGCCCTCCCATTTGACGTTCCTGCCCTCCCCCAATAAACACGTCTTTTTGTATTTATAAAAAAAAAATAATAATAATAATTGTATTATAAATAAACTGTGAACTTTAATGCTACGATGTGTGTGATGTCAGATAGTAACTACAAAAAAAGATCGTAGGCTACGTCAAATAAATTCATGTGTCTTTTGTGATTCGTCCACATTTAGACCAATCACAGCGTCACACTACTCTGTCGCCTATTCTGGATTTGTTTTTTATTGTGCATTCTGTCGACTCCCATTTCTGTTTTAAATTACAAAATGGACATCAGAAATTGGCTTAAAACCACGAGTAGGTCTAAGGATTTATTAAAAATAAATCGCGATGAAAGAACTGCAGCCGATGGTGCTGCTGCACCCTGCACCTGCCGTTGCAGCAGCACGCCTTAATGTTAGCTTGACCTCGGTCCACAAACCAATAAGTGACTTCTCACATACGGTCTGTCGTTTATAGTCAAGTAGGACCAATATGGTATGGATTCAAAATAAAACACAATTACACAACATAAGCGTCTTTTTGTTCTCCTTGTGTTGTTCTGTTTCCTGACCTTTGTCCTCAGATACACAGAGACAGATGTGATCCCCTGCTCAGGAGAAAGCTCCAAGGAGACAACCGTGAAGTAAGTAATCCACCTTTAAAGAGACTAAATCAAATGGATCATCAATTCAAACTGAAACGTATCTTACTCATTTGAATTCCTCACATTAAATGTCTGTTTTCTGATATTTCTCTGCAGCAGAACGTTGCCTGACTCCAGACTAAGCCTTGAATTCTCCAAATGGTCGAATGACGGTAAGTAAACTCTGAATAAAGAATTGATTGAATTAAGATAAGAGGGAGAGTGCGTCCCTTATTTATCTGTTTTGTTTGTCCCTCAGGGAGTCCGTCTACCAGCAGCGGAGAGAAAGTGGACGGCAGCAGCGCCGGGCTTCCTCTAACCTGCAAAAACTCTGAGATAGAAAGGTGAGACTTTATTTAGTTTCAGGGTTTCACTCCGAGCTGACGATACACTGCAGACATGATCAGGGCTGCAACTCAAAACCATTTGTTACTGTTGATTTAATCTGTGGATTAAATGTTTGGTTTATTAAACTAAAATAGCACAAATGTCAATCACTGTTTCCCTAAGTCAATGATGACATCCTGTTACATCTTGGTTCTTCCACAACTTTAAGATATTAGGTTTACTGTAATAGAGGAGTACATTCGGAACATATTAGGAAGTACTAATATATAGAAAGATGGATTGAAGAATATTTTTGTATTTAATTGTTGACAACTCAACGGTTCATCTATGTAGCTGTTGACATAGTGCCAGACATATTCAATTCAATTCGATGTATTGACTGTATTACAGCAGGGACAATGATTGTTTGTAGGCTTTAAGGCATCATTTAAAAAAAGGAACAACATTGATTAATATGTAAATAATTGTATTAAAATAATACTTTTTGTTGTTTGTGTAAAATAGTATTTTCTCTTTGTCCGTTTGGTTTATTATAAATAAATGTATTTTCTTTACTAGTTATTTATTACTCACTCAATGTACCAAAACAAATGATAAACTCTCATCACAAAAAGCCTAAAACTCACTTTTATGACCCTTTTTTAACATCATTGTTCTTATTTTATAATGATCACACTTGTTTACACATGTTTTTAATACGTTTGTTATTGATCTGTGTCACTTGAAACCACTCTGAGACACATTTGATGTCAAAAAGCTTCTATATATATATAAAATAAGTGGATTTTTATAGTTATTTTTATCATTCGGAGCGGAGGAAATGATACCACCTCTTCCTGTAAAGATTATTTTGAAAGCTCTCACACACACACACACACACACACACACACACACACACACACACACACACACACACACCGATACACAATACTATATGAATGAGATGATCTCATCCATCAAGGTCAGAGCAGGCGACGCACATTTCATCACACTTAATGCCCTGTAGCCCGTACAGTGTGTTTGCACATCCCCTGTAATTGTGCGCTTACGTCTATCTCTGTGAGGACGCTGACACCTCACCCCCCCGCCTCACCTCACACAACACACACACACACACACACCCTCTCCCTATGATAAATGAGACAGGGAATGCAGGGAATGTGAATGCTGCTAAATTTCATGCTCAGTGTCCATGCTGGCCAGCGAATAATTTAATCTGTCTTCGATTTACAAATGACTCTCCAGTGTCTGCCTGACTCACACCCCCCCCCCCCCCCCCCCCCTCCGTGTGTGTGTGTGTGTGTGTGTGTGTGTGTGTGTGTGTGTGTGTGTGTGTGTGTGTGTGTGTGTGTGTGTGTGTGTGTGTGTGTGTGTGTAGGCTCTCGGAGGATTCCACGCTGACAACTCTGAATGCACTTAAAGTTCGGATACGGGATTTGGAGAAGCAGTTGTCTAAAGGAGACAGATTTAAATGCCTCATCTGCATGGTGAGTGTGCGACGGCAAATGAAAGCGTCAGAGCGGAGAGAGACAGGGCTGAGATAACAGAGCAGTAAAGCAGAAACTGGGGGTAGACCTGTGTTTCAGGCAATAAATCAATAATATCTGTCCCTTACTTCCCACAGAATATACTGTCCATGTGGTGCTGGTGATATTCTGATATGTTCATACAGATTTGCAAGTGTTGTCTTTTTTTAAATATCTGAAAAACGTAAGGGTTATTTTATTTTAACGGTAAATGTCTTTATTGACATGAAACTTTTAGGGCTGTCGTTGACACTTTAAGTGAATTAAAACTCATGCAATTATTTTGTTCACTCATCCATAGGTTGATTTAATCTCAAGATCAGTCTTTCCTGTCGTTTTTTGTATTTTATTTCCTAGTAAAAAAATGTTTGGGCCAAAATAACATTTGTGTATTCTCAGACTCGAACAATAATGCGGAAAGAATTAAATCTGGTTCATACGTTAAGCTCATTGTATATATTTATATTATATATGCACAGTATTGTAGTACAGTATGGTACCAGTGTTACATTTATGCTGCTTTTACCATAAAATGCAACATGTTTTGTGAGGAAACAAAATCATTTTCAACAACTATACAGAACAATTGATTTATTCATTAGCTTCTTTAACAGGAACAAATAAACATGAATAAACATTGCTTTAGATAGGCCAGAAAGAGGACTTTTTTCATCTGTAGTCCCAAAACATCCTTTGAAGTCATAATAGAAATGAATTATATTATTAAACATTGGTAAAATTGTTAACACCTGGAACATAGAGGCTCCCAATACATGCCAATAAAAAAACTCCAGAAAACAGTACATATTAAAAAGTTCTGGGAATTAATAAAAGCAAAAAGACAGGTTTTAAATCAGGGGTGTCAAACTCAAGGCCCGCGGGCCAAATCCGGCCCGGGACCTCATTTTATGTGGCCCGCAAAAGCTTACAAAGAATATAATATACGATACAATTGGTGTAATTGTTGAATATTTGCTTTGAATTATTTGCCCTAGACTTCTGCTTTCAGACGTCGTTTTTTAAGAAGTTATTATCAGAACTGATAATAATCCAATGCAGAGCCAATCATTTTATATAATACATTATTTAATATATATTATATATTTATATATGTATATTTATATAGTCTTAAAGTTACAACCGGCCCTTTGAGTGCAACCATAATGCTGATGTGGCCCGCGATGAAATTGAGTCTGACACCCCTGTTTTAAATGATTAAAAACCAGTAAAAGGGTTTTTGATCCGTCAGGAAGCGTCTATTTATGCTCTTATTCTGGTTACACGTGGACATCTAGTGGCAGCTGTGTGTACTGCATGTAAGATAAGATCAGATATGATAAAATTCATTAATCCCCGTGGGGTAATTCAGTAGTTTAAACAGCAACAGGGTAAGGATGACAAACAGGACAGCACAGATTCACACAGATTAATAACATTTAGATAAAATCAAAGATAAAAATAAAATAACTATAAAATTAGAAATGAATTAAAATGTAGAAACGTAGAAACTCACCAGCTGTTCTCTGTTTCCTGCAGGACTCGTACAGCACCCCCCTCACCTCCATCCAGTGCTGGCACGTGCACTGTGAGGAGTGCTGGCTGCGAACTCTGGTAAACAATCTGAATTCATTTGTTATTCTCTGTCAAAGCTATATAAGTGTCATGTATTATTATTATTATTATTATTATGATAACACTTTAGATTAAGGTACACATATTCACCATCAACTAGTTGTTAATTAACATGCATATTAGAGCCAAACTACTAGCTTATTGGTGAACATATTCTGAGTTAGAAATACCAGATTTTAAGTTATTTTGACACAACTAACACTTATAGTTTCATGTCTTGTTACATAAGAGTAGATCATATTTGCAAGGTGTTATTATGGGAGAATTACTATTCCTATGGTACTGCTACTGCATATTAAGACCCACTCATGTGCAACAACTTCCTTACTTACAATAAATAAGCACTCATTAGAGGGTTATTAAAGAAAACTCTCAACTAATGGCTTATTACTTGTAGAATAAGGTCATGTAGAATAAGGCATTAATAAGTGTTTTATAATGACTAACAATATATTGCTAATATGCATGTTAATTAACAACTAGTTGGTGGTGAATTTATGTACCTTAATATAAAGTGTTACCATTATTATTATTAGGGTCTGAGACCTAGGTCGGCGAAGACCCTATTGAAATCGGTCGCACAGCGACCGATAAACCTTTGACCCCCGCAACATATGTGAAAACTCACCAAATGTTGCACGTGCGTCAGAAGTGGTGCAACTTCAGATGTGTAATTGGTTCCGGAACTTTGCGTCAAAAATTGCGTAGGCCACGCCCACTTCCGTTTTTAACGTAAACTCCCCCCACTTTAACTTTCACGTAAACAAACGAAACTCGCTACGCATATCTAGGGTGCAGAGACAAACCAAAAAGCCTCTTGGAGGGGTATAAAATAACGTACAGGAAGCCGGCCATTTTGAATTTGGCGTCGGAAAAACGCGATTTTTCGTCCTCCGCACGAAATCTATCTTCTCCCAGGGACTTTATCCGTACGACTCAAAATTCGTCGGGTAGCGTCTCGAGACATGGGCAATTCAAAGTTATCACGGAAGTCTTTTTCTTTCGCACGGCGTAGCCGTGATTTGGCGCCAAAGTTCGCGTTCGCTCGATGCTCGGCCATCCCTCGCCATGGAACACGATGATGTCATAACGCCAACTGACATACTCAGAACGCCACCAAACTTCACATGATGGTTAACACTGCGGCCCTGAACAGCTCTACGTCAAATTTGATGTTACTTAATATGGCATTACCATGGCAACGAATCCCTCGCCATAAAACACGGTGTCGCTGTAACTCCAATGGACACGGTCCCATCGTCCCCCAATCTTCACTTTTATATCACCGGTCCATGCCTCAACAGCTCTACGTGAAATCTGAGATCTCACCGTATGCCGTTTCCATGGCAACGCATCCCTCGCCATAAAACACAATGTTGTCTTAAGTCAAGGGAAAATGGTCCAAACTGCACCACACTTCAGATGATGGCTAATGGTCCAGCCCTCAACAGCTCTACGCCAATTATGGGATGTCATCATATGCCGTTTCCATGGCAACGCATCCCTCGCCATAAAACACGGTGTCGCTGTAACTCCAATGGACACGGTCCCATCGTCCCCCAATCTTCACTTTTATATCACCGGCACCAGACTTCAGATGATGGCTAATGGTCCGGCCCTGAACAGCTCTACGCCAATTATGGGATGTCATCATATGCCGTTGCCATGGTGACAGATCCCTCGCCATGAAACACAGTGTTGTCATAACTCGATGGAAAATGGTCCAAACTGCACCAGACTTCAGATGACAGTTAATGGTCCGGCCCTCAACACCTCAATATGACAATAGTGAGTTTTCCTCAAAAGCTGTTGCCATGGCAACGCATCCCTCGCCGTTAAGCACGATATTGCTATAACTCCTGTGTAAATGGTAAAAAAGTGTTCAAATTTCCCATGTGTGCTAACCGTCAAGCCCTCGACACATATATGTGTCAGTTTTGAGATTTCGTCAAATGTCGTTGCTATGGTAACAAAATGGTCGCCGTGAAACACGGTTTTCTCATAACTCCAGTTAACATGCTCCAAACGGCCCAAAACTTCACAGGTTTGATAACGATGCAGCCCTCAACACATCTAGGCGTATTATGGGGTGTCATCAAATTCCGTTGCCATGGCGACAGATCACTCGCCATCAAACACAATGTTTATGATACTGCTGTAACTCCCATGTACGTTGTCTGATCGGCCTGAAACTTCCCACGTTTGCCAACGGCCGAGTCCTTGAGACACCTAGACACACACGTCGACGTGCGGACAACAGCCTGCGGAGCGTCGAAGACCCGCTCAACGCTGCTTGCAGCTTTAATTGTTATTGTTATTGTTATTGTTATTGTTATTGTTATTATTATTATTATTATTATTATTATTAGGCGCCGCTTTCCACCTTCTTCTCCAGTAGGACTCAGATGAGGGTGTACTCTTATGTGTGGCTGTGAACATTTTTTTATTATTATGAAGGGCAGACCATCTATTTGTATTTATTTTTTTGTTTTTTTTAGAAAGGGGCAGGTCATATAAGATTTTATTCTTCTCCCTGCTCCTTTTCGCTCAATGGTGTGTAGAGACATGTTTTGTTGGCAATTATTGTACATTTGGCTATGCGTACCATGAGCGGGACAAATAAAAATGAAATGAAATATCCCAACCAATCAGCTACTGTGGTGACTTGCACAGTGGAGCTTATCATGTTTGTTAGATAATGGGCCCTGCAGTCCCGCCACTTTGGATCAACAGGGACAGTGAGGGGGCTTAAAGTCTCTTGATACAATATTGGCCCCCATTCCCTGTTCAATAAAGCACTATAAACAAGATTCGATAACACTGTGGTCATCATCTAGAAGTTAATAATGAAAAATAATCAAACTGAGTTCTTAGAAGTCCATTCAAACACATTCGACAGCTGTAGTAGATACTGTATCAGGTCACCATTGTCTTTAAATGCTTTCACACCTCAGGGGCAGATACGCCATGATTGTATCACAATATCATAGCTAATCACATCTCTGTGGTCTTGTATCTCATAGCATCTCTAGCTCTGATGTTTAGATCTAACTTTGAAAAGGGTGATGTTAGTTTCCCCTTTTTATGTTTGCATACAGCACACAAAAACAAACAGGTTTTGGACCAAACTTCTTCACAAAGACAGAAAAAAACATTTATGTACATAGAAGATTTGGATATAAAAAGAGATTCAAGTAGAAACACAACACATATTCTGTAGTACCACCAAGGTACAAGACAGCATATGATACTTTATGAAGACTCCTGTACTTTTACTTAAGTAGGATTTTGAACACAGGAAATAATTGCTCATATTACTCATTAAAAAAAGTATCTTTGCATTGATATTTGATACTTTTAATCACAGTAAGTCAAGGATCTGAGTACTATAACTACACAAACCATCGTAATTTAATTATTTATTTACTTTTTGTTCAATGGCAACTTTCTTTGGACATGCAGCTATCTGCAGTATTGTGATGGCTCATTTTTCTCCTTGACCTTTTTGAATATTTGAACACAAGCTTTCCCTACCTTTCCTTAGCAAAGAGTTTTCAATTGTTTAGGATTAAGACTAAAGATTTAAGAAATACTTTATAAATCCACAAGGGGAAATTACATTTGTCCCAACCCTAACCCTTTTCACTCTGTTGTTATTGACATGACATCACACACATACTTTAACCACACTCTATTCATGTTTTGGTAGCCAAGTGCATATACTGGTATGATAATTATATTCTGATTCTGATTCTGATAACTGTTTGTTTTAAAAAAAAATATCACATGACTGAATGTTAACCAGGGTTTTCAGTCATTAACACTTTGGTTTAAAGCATCAAACTCATTCTAAACAACTTTTTAAACTATTTATTGGAAGCTGTGGGGAATTAAAGCAGAAGACATGAGCGGAGAAGTATTTTGCGTTGGCTCTGTCCTAAACTTCAGTTTTTGGTGCTCACATATCAACTGCTGAACTGGATGGTTAACTTTCTGCTGAGAAACATTTGACCTTTGTTATAACAAATTAAACAATCCATGGAATCACACGGCTAAAAATCGATAGTTCTCTTGCAGCTGCTGTGTTGCAATAATCAGATACACTTACACAAGATACAGAATTGTTGGGACACTAACACCCATACCATACATGTCAATCTGAATTAAAAGCTTGAAATAACACAAGATAAAGATTACACAAGATGATAAGTGAAAAACAAGTTAAGGTTTTGCAGCCGAAAGAAGTGAAACTTACTTACAGAACTTTGTGTTCCAAACCAGAAGTCATCATGCCAATGGCAATGATCTTGTTTTTGACTGATTCAACATGATGTTTTGTGTCAGAGAACAACAAACATGACATGGTTCTGTTACACGTTGGTAGCTTAAATCAAATAAAAAATATTTGAGATTATGCAAGGGAAGGCCATGTGGCAAGACCAACCTGGTCTCACCAGAATGCGTGACTCCACCACGACTCCTTAACACCGCAGTGCGTGGTGGAGTCACGAACTTTGCTACATTTACGTGTCTGCACCACGCAAACAACCCCAATGTAAAGTGAATGAGGCTCCTTTGTCCTTAACCCTAGCCCTGAACAGCTCTACGCCAATTATGGGATGTCATCATATGCCGTTGCCATGGTGACAGATCCCTCGCCATGAAACACAGTGTTGTCATAACTCGATGGAAAATGGTCCAAACTGCACCAGACTTCAGATGACAGTTAATGGTCCGGCCCTCAACACATCAATATGACAATAGTGAGTTTTCCTCAAAAGCTGTTGCCATGGCAACGCATCCCTCGCCGTTAAGCACGATATTGCTATAACTCCTGTGTAAATGGTAAAAAGTGTTCAAATTTCCCATGTGTGCTAACCGTCAAGCCCTCGACACACATATATGTGTCAGTTTTGAGATTTCGTCAAATGTCGTTGCTATGGTAACAACATGGTCGCCGTGAAACACGGTTTTCTCATAACTCCAGTTAACATGCTCCAAACGGCCCAAAACGTCACAGGTTTGATAACGATGCAGCCCTCAACACATCTAGGCGTATTATGGGGTGTCATCAAATTCCGTTGCCAGGGCGACTGATCACTCGCCATCAAACACAATGTTTATGATACTGCTGTAACTCCCATGTACGTTGTCCGATCGGCCTGAAACTTCCCACGTTTGCCAATGGCCGAGTCCTCGAGACACCTACACACGCACCTCGACGTGCGGACAACAGCCTGCGGAGCGTCGAAGACCCGCTCAACGCTGCTTGCAGCTTTAATTATTATTATTATTATTAATAAATAAAGGACATAAAAGTCTGAGAGCACTGCCTGCCTGTCTGTCTATCTATCTATCTATCTACCTCTCTCTCTATCTATCTACCTGTCTGTCTGTCTGTCTGTCTGTCTGTCTGTCTGTCTGTCTGTCTGTCTGTCTGTCTGTCTGTCTGTCTGTCTGTCTGTCTGTCACTGTCTGTCTGTCTATCTCTCCATCTATCTGTCTCTCTACAAATCTAAATAATAAAAACACATTTCACGTCTCAAAGTAGGATCTAGCTAAAGCGAACAAGAACAAATGTAGTAAAATAAACCTTTGTATGTCTCCTTTCCTTTAGGGAGCGAAGAAGCTGTGTCCTCAGTGCAACACCATCACCTCACCTGGAGACCTGAGGAGGGTCTTCCTGTGACGCAGCCAATCACAGAAGACTTCCTCAGTTTCAACCAATCAGGGGCGGACTGTGGGCAGCTGGCCTGTCAAAGACCCCCAACCCTCCTCTTCCTCTTCCTCTTCGTCAGTGCACTCCTTCCACTAACCCCTGACAATTTTGAAGGACAGACGGTGTGACCTTTGACCTTTGACCTTTTCAGCCCTGTACGATGTCCACGTTCCTGCTGCAGCTTCAACACACAGAAGAAAACCACAAGATACATAGGAAGAGGAAACGCTTTGGGACAATATTTATCAATTTTATAATCCTTTTTTTGTTTGGGAAAGAGATAAATAACATGCAAAGCACATGTACATAGTTTTGTGTATTTTGGGATCTGTGTGTGTGTGTGTGTGTGTGTGTGTGTGTGTGTGTGTGTGTGTGTGTGTGTGTGTGTGTGTGTGTGTGTGTGTGTGTGTGTGTGTGTGTGTGTGTGTGTGTGTGTGTGTGTGTGTGTGTGTGTGTGTGTGTGTGTCGTTGACGAGCAGAACAACCCGGCTGTATTTACTGTACAGAGTTTGTCTTCGCTTTAAAGATCATTTTTTATTCGTTTAGCTCCTGTAGGAAATATTGACAGTAATCTCATCACATTCACGCTCATGTTGTCTTGTTGTGTTTCTTTGTATAGGGTCATTCAATCTAATTTTATCAATGTTACTACAATAAAACGTGTGTCTACAAAGTTTCACAACATATTTCATCTGTGGGGGAAGTGGTGGGAGAAGTACTCGGTGTTTTGAAGAAGTAAAAGTAGATATACCACGGTGTAGAAATACTATAGTATTTTATGAGCCTTAAATTGTACTTAAAGGATCTCTATGCTAATTGTTATATGTAGTGTCTCTACTGTGACATGTCTCCATACTTTAATGTTCAAAAAGCTCTTTATTTTTCTCATACTACCTCTTTTCACCCTCTGTCTGAAACCAGAGCCCAGTCTGCTCTGATTGGTTAGCTGGCCGGCTCTGTTGTGATTGGCCAACCGCTTAGAGATGTCCCGCCCCTTAGCCTATCACGTACAATGTGATGGAGCCCAAGTCAATAGGAGCGCGAGTGTTACATAGGAAGTAAACAATGCACAGAAACCTATACAACACGATACAGGAGAGGTAAACATAATAAAAAATACGTTAATCTCAAAGAGAGAAAAGATGCCAGATAATAAATAACTAAGTACTAAGTATGTTTAAAATGTACTTAGTGACTGTTTGGTGATATTCACCTGTTGAACGTGTGGATTTTGACACACGTTATGACTCTGAGCACCTGCTGTCCTGCGTACATCTCTGCTGTGCTGACAGAGAACGGTGGACTCACCCTTTAAGAAGTGGGTCGCTGCAGGATTAGTGAGGCACAGCCGGCACACACACTAAACCGGCTATTCTCAGCCTTATCACATACACATGCGGACACACACACACACACACACACACACACACACACACACACACACACACACACACACACACACACACACGGAGTGGAGAAACACTTGTTGAGTCTTTTTACCACAAAAAGTAACTCCAGTGTCTTAACGTCCTCTAGTGGAGCTGCTTATAAGATAAGATGTACTTTATTGATCCAAATTTGGGACATTTTCACGTTGTAGCAGCATAAAAAGACAAGACATTGTTCATTAGAGAAATTAAAAGACTAGAAATAAACAATTCAAAATGTAAACATCGCAAATAGAAATAAAATAGCATTTAAAAAAGTAGGAAATATACATTTTGAAATACCAATTTACAGTTAACATTTAAAGCAGGATATTATTTATACATTAAGTGTGTAAGGATGTAAAATGTAAAATGTACAGTGTGAGTATTATTACACTGGGATGCAGTGGGTCGCCTCCAGGTTTGATATGAAAACTGTCTCAGTGTGAACTCAGTGTTTACTTCACACTGCAAGAAGTTGAACTACAGCAAGAGAAAAAATGTAGTTTGGTTAAAAGAAGCGTCTTAGAGAAAAGTAGGAAACATACAGTAATACCAAAAAGTCGTCTGACAGCAAAACGAGTCAAAGCTTGAACTCTGGTCAGCCTGGTAAATATATGAAAGAATAGGAAGGGAAATGCTTAGAAAAGGGGTTTGATTATAGTAAAAATAAACAGTATAACACTTATTTACGTATTTTTGTAGGCCCAAAATTGTTTATCAATTCAGTAGTTAGATTGAATCAAACTGCAAATATGGTTGAAGTTGAACTAACAGCAAGCTATTCATTTTCCTCAAAGAAATGCAGGCTTTTATTAAAGTATATTTACCTCCTTAAATTTAACCTGGCATTTCCTTTAAAAACCAAAAAAATATAACCTTACGCAACAAGTGTGTGGATTCACAGCGAAAGCATATTCTTAAATATATCTTCACACACTGTACACACACTGTACACACCTTAAATATATCTTCACACACTGTACACACACTGTACACACCTTAAATATATCTTCACACACTGTACACACACTGTACACACCTTAAATATATCTTCACACACTGTACACACACTGTACACACCTTAAATATATCTGCACACACTGTACACACACTGTACACACACTGTACACACACTGTACACACCTTAAATATATCTTCACACACTGTACACACACTGTACACACACTTTACACACACTGTACACACACTGTACACACACTGTACACACCTTAACTATATCTTCACATACACACCTTAAATATATCTACACACACTGTACACACACTGTACACCCTAAATATATCTACACACACGGTACACACACTGTACACACCCTAAATATATATACACACACTGTACACACACTGTACACACCCTAAATATATCTACACACACTGTACACACACTGTACACACACTTTATGCTGCAGCGTGATCATTTGTTTATGAAAAGCTGAATCTAAAGGATAAGCAGAAGTCAGCGTGCTCACATGTGATTGGTCACTGAGCTGAAGGGAGTGGGTTCTAATTCAGACTGACAGTGAGCTGATTCAGTACACACACACACACACACACACACACACACACACACACACACACACACACACACACACACACACACACACACACACACACACACACACACACAAACACACACACTGTAGTGTACTTAGGGGCCTGGCTGAAGAATCATCTGCTATCAAACGCTTCTACGACACACTCTGTTCTGCGCTGTAACGAGAGGTAAGGACACACTTTTGTTTACCTTCACAACAATGTATTCATTATTCATTATTGATTATTGTTTGGTCTATAGATGTCAGAAAATTGGGAGAAATATCCATCCCTGATTCTGAAAGTCGTCAATGAATCAATTACTTAACGTAACATCGCAGCTCTAATGAACACGCATTCAGTCACTAATGTGATTAATGTGAGTTTCAGAGATTACAAAACGGTATAAAACTAATAGAAACACCTTTTTAAATTGTTTTAAAATGTAAATGATAATAAATGTTTGTACAGTATTTGTTTGCCGCTTCGATATTTTAAAAGCTCTGCATAGGTGACATATCTACTGTGCATTACATGTAAATTCAAGGAGGACATTTTGCATACAACAATTAGGAAAGGCTGGATTAGATGATCAACACATTGTTGTTATTTGATATTTTATTTATATTTATCAGACGTGTGTTAATGTTTCTCACATGTTTATAATGCATGTGTTATTGCTCTGTTCTTCTTTGTCCTCCTTTGGTAATAAGTTAATAACCTCAAAGTTGAATGGGAAATGTATTTATTGGGGATTTTAATTATCCTTTTAGCGACTCTTATGTGAAATATGCATTACATAATTGGAAATACCAACACTAAGTAGATTTAAGTTGTCTGTTTTTTGACTGTTGCAGACTTTGACGTTATAAGTCATTGTATTAATATTGACTGTAAATAAATAGATGCTTCAGAGTACCTCAGGTAACCGGGTCACCTGTCCTGTTAATGGTAATTCTAAATAAATAGTCCCTCCTCAGGTTCACCTGTCCGGGACCCTTTGTGCCGCTCGGCCCGATCCAATTAATCCTCGGACTGACCCGCCGTGACTCCATTAACAGAAACCATAACATTAACCTGCAGGCGGCAGCAAGTAGGACAGCTTTAGATATTTCAATTAAGGAAGAAATAGGAAGTAGAATGTCCTTAAGTGTCAATTTATTAACGGTGTAAATTAAAAGCAGAATAATGTAGGAGTGGAGATCTGCTGCTGCTGGTTTTAAGAGCAGCTCGGATCAAAGGATTAACTTTAGTGACCTTTGCCCCACTGATAGTTAGTGAGCCTTTAAAGCACTGCAGTAATCATGCACAGGTAGAGGAGTTCTTAATAAACATGGTGTCAAGAAAAAGTCAAGTAATGTATTAATTCTACACATCTTCTAACTAAAATGATTAATTTAACCTTAGTGTTCGGGTCGACTCTGACCCATTTACTACTTTCATCAATCATACATATTGTGTTTTAGATCTGATTGCCTCAAGGCCTTATTATATCCTCCACAGGAGACATTTGAACATACAACATTTTGATAATCCTCCATAGGAAATGAATGGGTAACCCTAGAGGTGGGAGAAGTACTCAGATCATGTACTTGAGTAAAAGTAGAAGTACTCAGATCTTGTACTTGAGTATCAGAGTGTATGAATACTCTGTTCCAGTAAAAGTCCTGAATTCAAAATGTTCCTCAAGTAAAAGTAGAAAAGTATCAGCATCAAAATATAGTTAAAGTAGCGACAGTAAAAGTAGCCATTGTGCAGATTGGTCCATTTCAGAATAATATATATGATATGTTTTATAATGATTGATCATGAAAGTGTTCTCAAAGCTGGTAAAGGTGCAGCTAGTTTGAATGACTTTGTATACTGCAGGGTAGCTTGTGGATTTACTCCAGGTGGAACTAAAGTCTGATTTAACACTTGATTATATTTCACATCATTCATCCACATCTGTAAAGTAACTAGTAAAAGTACACCATTCACCTCTGAACTGTAGTGGAGTAGAAGTACACAGTAGCATAACATGGGAATACTCAAGTAAAGTACAAGTACCTCAACATTGTACTTAAAGTGGACCTATCATGCTATATTTGAATAATATAGTGTAGGACCATACCTATATAAGGCATATTTATACTTTTTTTTTTTCAAAATACCAAACAGATCATGCATTTTAGCCATGCCTCATTTTGCTCAATTTGACATTTTTTAGCTCTGTTTTTGCAAGGGCTGATTCAGTGAGAACAGCACCACCTACAGGCCTGGCATATGTACTACAGCGTCTCCAGCGCTTTCGAACGGCAATGGCCGTGGCTGTCTCCTCCTGATTGGTGGAGTTGGCCCAATAGCCGTAGCGCCACCGTCCTGACGTCAGGACAGTGTTCAAATCTGGATCAGTTTTTATCAGATCCGTTGCAGCCCCTTTTTTAGAGATTTGGGTATGGAGGAAAATAGAGAGGGTTGTGTTTTCTGACACTTGGTGAGTTCCCTGGAACACCGGGGACACATATTCATGTATAAAAGACGTACAAAAGTGCATTTTGCATGATAGGTCCCCTTTAAGTAAATGTACTTAGTAACTTCCCATCTCTGGGTAACCCTGGATTATGTTCTTCCAAAATCGTCAATTTTGGAATACATTTTCAGTGTCTATTCCAGTAAACCAGTAGTCACTGTTCAGAGCTTAAATGGTTGTTACAGTAAATACAATTCAGTGATGATTAACAGTTTTTTTGTTAATGTAAGAGCGGTTAAAACAGAACACCAAAGTAAGGGGAGAGAAGCGAACACCACAGGGGGGTTAATACAATCCAATACAGCTTTATTTAAAAAGCACTTTAAAACCTCCAGAGCAAAGTTCTGTACAGTCAAATAAACAAATAAAACATACAAAAATGTCCTGTATTTCATTCAAGAAAGGATCTTGTCTTTCCTTAACTTCATATCTCTGCTAGCACCAGATATCTGACGGTGATCTCAGCTCTTGGCACAAACTCAGTTCCCTTTAACCCTGTTTTTTCCCCGTGTGTTTCAGAATAATGTCTGGACCAAGACCCGTGGTGCTGAGCGGCCCCTCCGGAGCGGGGAAGAGCACTCTGATGAAGAGGCTGATGAAGGAGCACGAGGGCATCTTCGGCTTCAGCGTGTCACGTACGTTAGTGTGGAAGTACACGAGGAAACACAGTGTATTAGATTGAAGGTCTAATTCTGACCCTGCAGATAGATTTTGTGGCATTAGTTCATCTTTTTCAGTTGTTGTACACATACACAGAGGTGGGAAGTAGTGGAGTACAAATACTTTGTTACTGTACTCAAGTAAGTTTTTCTGGTATCAGTACTTTACTCCACGACTTATTTTTCTGACGACTTTTTACTTTGACTTCTTACATGTTGAACCCAAATACCTGTACTTTCTACTTCTTACATTTTGAACCCAAATACCTGTACTTTCTACTTCTTACATTTCCCAAACAGGCTGGTTCCTTTAGTTTGAATGTGTGTTTGGTGGCGTGATCATTATTATTTAGAGTCATTGCGTGCCTATTGATTTGAACACGATCCGTGTATCCAACATTTCCTGGTCTTCTCTAAAGAAGAGGGACCAATGAAAACGTTGTCATGTTGCCGTTGTTCAGCATGGAAACATTCATTAGCTAACAATGACATTATTGTTCTATTAATATAAAGGGAGGTCAGGTACTCTTTAAAACAGCTGCTAGTTATGGGTCCTTTTTACTTAAAGTGGACCTATCATGCTATATTTGAATAATATAGTGTAGGACCATACCTATATAAGGCATATTTATACTTTTTTTTTTTTCAAAATACCAAACAGATCATGCATTTTAGCCATGCCTCATTTCGCTCAATTTGAAAAAATGTAGCTCTGTTTTTGCAAGGGCTGATTCAGTGAGAACAGCACCACCTACAGGCCTGGCATATGTACTACAGCGTCTCCAGCGCTTTCGAACGGCAATGGCCGTGGCTGTCTCCTCCTGATTGGTGGAGTTGGCCCAATAGCCGTAGCGCCACCGTCCTGACGTCAGGACAGTGTTCAAATCTGGATCAGTTTTTATCAGATCCGTTGCAGCCCCTTTTTTAGAGATTTGGGTATGGAGGAAAATAGAGAGGGTTGTGTTTTCTGACACTTGGTGAGTTCCCTGGAACACCGGGGACACATATTCATGTATAAAAGACGTACAAAAGTGCATTTTGCATGATAGGTCCCCTTTAAGTACATTTCAAAGCCCATACTTCTTTACTTTTACTTGAGTAAAGAAGTTTAGTCAGTACTTCTACCTTTACCAGAGTATTTTTAAACACGAGTATCTGTACTTCTACTTGAATAAAGGATGTGTGTACTTTTGCCATCTCTGCACATATGAGTGTCTACAGTACCTATTAACAAGCAAACTGTGAAGTAAGACATTTTTTTGGGGCTGTCTTGGTCAGAAAACATGGGATTCATTCATCCTCTTCTTACTGTTTGTCACATGAGGCTCATTTGCTTTCCAAAGGTAGGCTTAAGTTTGAGGAGACACCAAGCAATAATAGATATTAACTGGGCAAAGTGAAGCACAGTTTGTATATGTATATGTGTATATGTTATATACTGTAGAGCCCATATTGAATATTGCTTTTTTTGTAAGAGATGATGATCTTTTTGATCCAAACTGAGCATTTCAGACCAAATGTGAATACAGGAATATACAAACAGGCATTTTGAAGTAATAACCCAAAATACAAGTATATGAACCTGAAAATGTGCATAATATGTCTCCTTTAAATGCTGAAATGGAAGTTTTGCAGCAATTTTGCTTTGATATCAATCAAAAACAGCCATTACAGATGATTTATTGCCATCAGGGTTCTAACAGGCACATTTTCTCCATACAGACACAACAAGAAACCCACGACCAGGAGAGGAACACGGCAAAGGTAGGCTACTTCTGGCTCAAAACTGTTTTAAAAACACTTAGTATCTGCACATGTGTTACATTCATGCATTCATTTATCCCAAACATTTGCCAAGTCTGAGAAAAATAAAGAGCTTTTTGAACATTAAAACATTGAGACATGTTACAGTAGAGACACTACATACAAATATGAACCTGGAAATTAACATAATACGGCCCCTTTAAGCCCCGATACTGACATTTAATTAGATTTTATTTCAGCAGTTTGATCTGAATGACCTTTAAACTTGTAAAAATCCATATAGTCCATATATTGTCAAGTCACTGCCCACACACAGATGATGCTTTAAGCACCTTCACACTGTAGTAGGACCCTCATGCTCTGTGATGCACCTGAAGGGGCTTTAGACTTGGATTTGAAACTGAAAAACTGTGATAAAAGTGTTTTTTTGCACCTTTTTGTAGATTGTTTGTGCTCCACATTTTCCCGCCCCACCCCCTTTCTTTCCCGTTCACCAAAAACACTTCTTACTCCCAAGTGAACTGCACGCTGGTTGTGTCCCCTCTGTTAAATACGTGGATATAAAGGGATAAACCTCTCTGTGCCTTCTTTGCTTTCTCCATAGGGCTGAACAGTCTCCCCATGCTTCTGGGGGCGACTTTATTTGCTGTAGCAGACGTCTATTCCTCTGAAGACTTAGAAAGCTCATTTTCGTGTCCTGACGAATCTGAAACCACAGATAAAGGTGACCTCCGTGTGATTCCTGATCACAGTTTTAAAGCAGAGGGGTTACTTTCATCATTCAGGCACCAATTATTAGATCTGTAGTCACTCAATCAAGTGACAAACCATAAGAGAAATTACAAACATGTTTAGTAATCTAGAGAATCAGGATAAAACAGTTTACACTTTGGAGTAAAAAGTCTTGAAAATAGCCCTCTGTGTGTCTGTAGTGATTCCCGTTTCCTGTCCCAAGTCTTCCTGTTTCCCACTGATGGAGCGTTGGAGCGTAACATTCTGATAACAACGGCATATTTGACTCATTCTGACCAAACCTGGGTTTTTAACTAAGGAGCGCTTGTCTATTTCTTATCTCAAAGGTTTTCAGTAACATATTTGACTGTTTTGTTTTGCTCTGAAATTAGGACGTTTGTGACTCGGCCGCAATGTTGTAAACAAAACCCAAACAACATACGCAGCAGAGTTTCAAATGTGACGGCTAAACAGTACACTAAAGTATGTCTCTGGAAATGTTTGTACAAGATATACGCTACGCAGAAACATAATCTTGACTTATTTTTTAGTTTAAGGTAAGTGTGGAGTTCACCAGCAGTGATTAACGCTGCATTAAAGGAGTTGTAAATGTCATTAGGAACAATAGGAGGCAGAGGAACATCTCATCTGTTTAATGCGCTACTTTAATAGCAAGAGTTGAAGAAAATATTACAAAAAGGTTCGTTTTATTCAAGTTTCTTACGGCAGCTCCAATGTAATGCAGTTTTTAAGTAATTTCTGCGTCTCGTTCAGGTGTTATCCCTTCTTTGTTCATCAGATCCACTTCCTATTTCATTGTTACTTAGAACCTAACGTTCTCATGCTAATGATTGTGTGCTATCGCAGTGTCCACTAGTGTTAGAAGTAGAACATAAATAAAGTCTTGAATGCTGTTATCTCTAAGAGGTTTTGATATTGTTAGATTTAGGCATATTCATGTAGTATGGATCACACACACACACACACACACACACACACACACACACACACACACACACACACACACACGCACACACACACACACAGTCTCAAAGTAAGCTTAGAGGACAACACTATACATACCTGAAGACAAAATAACAGCAAAAATATTATTTGCATTTAGTGTTATGCCAAAAATATATCCTTTGTGCCTGGATATTATTAAATGTTGCCCGTAATGTTGCTTGATTATTGTGATACAATTATCTCACTATATAACTACCTATATTGTGCAAGTTTACCTGGCAAAACTGGACTCATTGTTAATGTTAATGCTCTTACAGACTACCACTATACTACCAGAGAGGTCATGCAGGACGGAATTGACAAAGGAGACTTCATCGAGAACGCAGAGTTCTCCGGCAACCTGTATGGAACAAGGTGAATATTTACACTCATTAATTTGCATGTGTTTATGCATTATTATATAAGTGCAGCGTCTATCTCCTAATGGAAATGTTTTGGACCGACCGTTGTTGCACCTGTTGGCCACCGTGACTTTATGCTTCACATTTCACATTTTTCAGGCAAATGTTCTACTTTTAACTGCACTACATTCATCGAAAAGCGTGATTTCTTATATAGATTACAATTTGGAAAACAGAAAGTGATTTTATGCTTCTGATAAATTGAAGGAGAAAGTATTTTCCTGAGCAGCAGTAGAAAAAATGTGCACATTCTTACACATCAACAGCAGTTCAATGCAATATACACATGAAAGCAGTAGTCATATTCATTCTAAACAATATTTGTAACAGGAAAACACTGACTGGGAACATTTTACAGCAAAATGACTGTTTCTTTCAGTAATAAAGTGCATTTTCCCTGCTAATTTGACTGTATTAAGGCTTTCAATGCAGGCCTTTAACTTGTAGTGGAATTATTTTAATACTTATATCAATCTGATCACTCTGGTTATGTAATATACTCTGACGCTCGGCCACAGGGTACGGGAGGATATAAAACAGTCTTGCGACAGATGGCTGTTTGACCTCTCTCGGGTCAAAAAGAGCAGCGCTGCAGCTCAGCACCTCCTCGTGTGTCACATGTAATCTCTTCCTCTTATTCTGAGGATAACACACACTCACTCACTGCTGTGTGAGTCTGAGCAGCTGGGATCAATGCAGCGATCCTCTTAACTCGCTCACTGCGTGCTGCACAATCATACGATTACACCCTCAATATCTGCGTGACATTTGTGGAGGAAATTCTTAAGAGAAACTGATAAATGATTCATGGACAAAGTTTGTCTTTTGTTATATTTAATAAAGTAAAGTCAATATACAAGTGAAATCGATCCCAAATGTAGGAACAGAGCTACTTCCTCCTCAGAGGATAGAGAAGTCCTGCACCCCAACACACAGCTAACAGTCACACTATATAGTGGAGAGAATAGTCAACTGGTTTAAATGATTATATGATGATTTGACACGACAACATTGTGAAGCCATGTCCAAGTTCAGATGTACTTTAAAAGCCTCTTGTTTTATATGATTTAATGACGTCTCAATGCATTGGTTCTGCAGTAAAGCGGCCATTCAAGACGTGATCGACAAGAACCTGATGTGCATCCTCGATGTGGACATCCAGGGAGTGAGGAGGATCAAAGAGACCGAGCTGAACCCCATCTACATCTCCATCCAGCCCCCCTCCATGGACATCCTGGTAAATGTCCCACTACAGTATTATTGCAATATTTCAAATTGCATTCATTCAGCTGTTGCTGCCTGTGAAAGAAAAACAACTTCACCACTTCATCTCTTGGACCCAACATTAAATCACCACAGATTTATCTTGGTATCAACAACAAGCAACACTTATAAGCCACATATTCGGACACTTTTAGAAGTTGGGCAGCAATTAAACACATTTAAGGGAGGAAATCTAAATATAGAAGTGTAGTTTTTTAAAAACAGCTTTACCTGTAATGATTCTCCAATTTTTGGATCGTTTTACCAGAGTCACATCATTACCAATGTTCACATATAACACACGTGTAACACACTCATTGGGACTGTTACTTCTTTCTAGATATCTACTATAGTTATTGAGATATATGTATGGATTTAAGTATTAATATTTTACTGTAATCGTTTTTTGAATGAGCGTCATATATTCATCACGTCTCAAATATTATTCGTGATAAAGTAACAATACTAGGGACACAGGGGGTCCATGGAGTTGTGCTTAACATATTAAAGCATGAATTTAATAGTGCCAAAACTCAGTCAGTTATTGTGCAGTTTGGTTAATAACTCACCTGGATTACTTCGTTGAAGCCATGGATGTACGGTTGAAGCTTGTCGGTGAGTTTGTCTGAAACTCGACCAACAACCAATCACATGAATCTCCCGCCCCGGACACACAAGCACGCGGTTTGATTGGCTAGAGCTTGTACTGTCATATGATTTGATTGGCTGACGCTTCCGCCGAAGCTTCAAAAGTTGAACAGTGCTCAACTTTTGAAGCGAGCAACGCGAGCCTGGTACGGCATGCTATTTAGCTAGTTAGCAGAAAAAATGCCTCAGTTCTCTACAGATGACTTCCACAAACGTCTACAGAAGATGGCAGTGTTGGAGATGAAAATGCAACGGTTGCAACTTAACGTGGAAGTGAATGGACTTGGTTGGAATGACACCACTTTACCAGTGCTGCAAAAGAATGGAAAAGGGCATGCTAACTTACAGCTAGTTAGCAGCTACAAGGATTCCAAGGAACAGGAGGGCTGTGTACCGGGTAATACATATACAAGTGGTAGTCCTCCCTGGAACTCTCTGAGTGCAAAACCTAAGAGTAAATCATTTCCATGGGATTTGGGAGAACGAATAACAGGCAGAGTCCAGCGCCCTGAAATCTGTGATGCGACCGGCTGGCCTGCATTGTTATCACCCAGGAAGAGCGCATCTTCAACCCCTCTTCCTACTAGGAAACAGCCGTGGACAGCTGCTAAAGGGATAACTACAAACAGGTAATGGTTTTTGGAGCCAAGGCAGAACGTATACAAGTTAGCGCTGAGCTTCAAACAATAATGTCCAAAACAACAGATACAGCCAGAAATCTAGGTGTAGTCATGGACCCTGACCTGAGTTTCAACAGTCACATTAAAACAATGACTAAATCAGCCTACTATCACCTAAAGAACATATCTAGGATTAAAAGACTAATGTCACAGCAGGATTTGGAAAAACTTGTCCATGTTTTTATCTTCAGTAGACTGGACTACTGTAATGGTGTCTTCACAGGTCTCACTAAAAAATCTATTAGAACGCCGCTGCTCGAGTCCTCACTAACACAAGAAAGTGGATCACATCATTCCTGTTCTGAAATCTTTACACTGGCTTCCTGTGTGTCAAAGAATAGATTTCAAAATACTGCTGCTGGTTTATGAAGCACTGAATGGTTTAATACATGTCTGATCTACTGCTAAATTATGAACCATCCAGATCTCTCAGATCTTCAGGGACTGGTCAGCTTTCTGTCCCCAGAGTCAGAACTAAACATGGTAAAGCAGCGTTCAGTTGTTATGCTCCAAATATCTGGAACAAACTCCCAGAAACCTGCAGGTCCACTACAACTCTAAATCCAGGCTCAAGACTTATCTTTTTGCCGCTGCCTTTAATTGAAACTGAGCGGTTGTGTTTCGTTTTTGGTTAATGAACATTTGGGGCTAGTAACCCCAGGGAATCAGTGTCTGGGGACTTTGTCCTGGCTGGTTTGCTCTGTGTATGCTGCTCGGGACGTACACAGCTCATGTTCGGAGAAACCTTAAAGAAAGGCATCAGTCAAATGGAACTTCTGTGTGAACTATTCACATCTTAAACTGCACTGTAACTTTTTATTCATGTATTTTTTCTTTTAATGTTTCTTTTATTATCTTTTCTTTTTAATGACTGTTTTTAAATGCCTTTGTCTGAACGTCTTTCATTTTTGTAAAGCACCTTGAATTGCCTTGTGTTGAAAGGTGCTATATAAATAAACTTGCCTTGCCTTACCTGTAGTTTGTTAGTAATTAGTTAGCAAATGCATGTTCAATTACAACCAAATGTGTGTATGTTGTACATCAATCTACAATTCCCAAGTGCATAACATCATCACACAATTCTCCCGACAAGGGGCAGTGTAGTAACTTTTAAACTTTGAGTCTGTTCACTTACATAAAATGAAACTTAATAAACAAGTTCACAGAGACCATGTACATTAAATACTAGCACCAAAACGTCCTCCTTCATGAAAAAGACTAACACCATATCTCTTGAACGCAACATTAAATCACCACAGATTTCTCTTGGTGTCAACAAGCACTTCATATTCAGACTCTTTTAGAAGTTGGGCAGCAATCACACACTTTTTAAGAGAGGAAATCTAAATATAGAAGTGTCTTTTTTTTTTTTTTTCAAAAACAGCTTTACTTTGATGACAAACACAACCTCCTAAATAGAGATGATACACATTAGTCTGATCTGTGTTTGGTGGCGTGATCATTATTATTTAGAGTCATTGCGTGCCTATTGATTTGAACACGATCCGTGTATCCATCATTTCCTGGTCTTCTCTAAAGAAGAGGGACCAATGAAAACGTTGCCGTTGTTCAGCATGGAAACATTCATTAGCTAACAATGACATTATTGTTCTATTAATATAAAGGGAGGTCAGGTACTCTTTAAAACAGCTGCTAGTTATGGGTACTTTCTACTGAAGTACATTTCAAAGCCTCTTTACTTTTACTTGAGTAAAGAAGTTTAGTCAGTACTTCTACTTTTACCAGAGTATTTTTAAACACGAGTATCTGTACTTCTACTTGAGTAAAGGATGTGTGTACTTTTGCCATCTCTGCCATTAAAGTATTAAAGTATTATTGTATCATTGTGCAAAGCTGCAGTTATGTCAGCTCATTGGTTGAAACATGTCCTTTATGTCTTTGTCTCTCAGGAGAAGCGTCTGCGGGACAGACAGACGGAGACGGAGGAGAGTTTACAGAAGCGTCTGGAAGCAGCTCGCATCGACATGGAGCTCAGTGAGTGTCTCTGTGTGACATGACGACGCTGAAATAAAGAGCATTATGAAACTAATCCAATGTTCTCCTGCAGGCAACGAGCCAGGGGTGTTTGATGTGGTCATCATCAACGATGACTTAGAGAGAGCTTACGAGGAGCTGAGAGACATCCTCAGTGACGTGAGTTCAACTAAAAACACATCCAACGTCATTCATTTACAAACTGTTGACTAGTGTCTGCCAGCTGCTGCTGTTTACTGACAAGGATAAGAGCATGTGTTTAAAGCAGTGGTGGAGAGTAACTACGTTCATTATCAATACTGGAAACATAGTGTAAAACTTCTACTGCACTACATGTCAGAGGTTAATGTTGGACTTGTTTATCCACTGCATTAATCTAATACCTTAGAGCAGGGGTGTCAAACACAAATACACAGTGGGCCAAAATTAAAAAAATGGGTACTAGTCGAGGGCCGGACTGGTTCAATGTTTATTGCAGAACTTATTGAAATGAACTTATTGCACATATTAAACCTGGAACTAACAAAGCTTAAATGATTGCCCATAAAAACAACATTAAACATTAAATAATCAGTTGCATTCATTTCTTATGGCTCTATCTGCAGCTTTTCCAGAGTCATTTCTTATGATCACATTTCTCCACAGGCCAACAACAGCTTCAAAAAAACTATTTCCCTCAAAGAACAAACCAAACATGCCCTGTTGTCGTGAGAGAAAAAGTGCAGAAGGAAACATCCATTGAACTCAGTGTGCTGCTCTGTGATGCTAGTTCAAGCCAGATACTTGGCATCTCATCTTGGGTGCAAGTTCATCAATGTTTGGGCTCAGGCTCTGAGCTGAGGAGACCCTCAGGATTGAGTGAAGGTGTGCGTGCAATATACCGGCGGGCCAGATCTAATAGTAATTAGAAATGATCCTGCGGGCCGAAATTAAATCCACCACGGGCCTGATTTGGCCCCCGGGCCTTGAGTTTGACACATGTGCCTTAAATTAACCTTTTAGATAACTGATATCAAATATAATAAATACATCAATTTGACTTTAGGTATACATGGAATAAATGCACAAGCTAACAAGCAATATTTAATTGGGTTCCTATTTAGGTATTTTTAGAGCTTTCCCTTTCCTGTTTTAGTGCATGTAAATGGTCTGCAAAGGCTAAAATCCCCCACACACCCCCCCCATGTGAAACGCCGCCATAGGACTTATTTGTTTACTTCTGTAACAGTGACATCACTATGTAAACACTCGCACTGCTATTGGCTAGCGCTCCAACACATTGTACGTGATAGGCTAAGGGGCGGGACATCAGTAGAGACACTAAACACTGATATGAACCTGAACATTTGCAGAATATGTCCTGAGTAAAAGTATCTTCTTCTTTCTTTCAACAGGAAATCCAGAAAGTGAAGGAGGTGAAATCATAAGGAGGGAAATCTTTCTGCTGTTGTGACTGGCCTGAATAACTTCATCTACACCGACTGCATCACAATTTCACAGATACACTTGGTCTTTATCATCTAAAAGTTGGCCCTCACCTCACACCAATATGAAGCACACATCATTATCCCCAGTCAGAACATCACTGCAAAGATATGACACTTTCATTAGTTTTGTTGTATTCTTGGTAGAAATGAATACACTCGTAGTTAAGTACATGACTGTAAAACTACTATTATATTAACTAAATATTTACTGCTGCCAATGTCTTAAATATGGAGGAACGTCGAGATAAAATGACTGAATTTAAAACATTCGCATGTAAGTTTGTGTTAAAAAAGGCTGAATAAAGAATGTGAAGCCAACCGGAGACCACGTTTGTGCCATTTATTTAATATTGTATTCATCAATTCACTCAGGTATTGTATTGGAGTATTATCTGGCATTTATTAAAACCTACAATTAATGGATTTCTCAGTTGTACGTTATAACTTTAAGGCAAAATGTGAACAATTTGAAATAACATAAATCACTCAGAAAAACAGTTTTCACTTTAAGGCCAAACGCGTGCATCTGTCACCAGTTTCTCATGTAACTAAGTCTAGATTTAAAAACTCATGCACTCTGAAAGACTTATCCCTGATATGTTTCCATATAAACCAAAGCACACACTTATAAAAGCTTCTGGGTAATTACATAAAAACTCATTAAGACGCATCACATTTTTTAAATCAGAGGAAACTAAAAATGAATTTATGAACCTTGCTGAAATTAAATGTGCTGGTTGTAAGGCTGCATAGTTGTAAAGGTCTGCTATTATACTCCTGTTCATCAATATATCACAGGTCTCACATATATCCAGAACCTGTCTCTGATTGGCTGAAACACCAAACAGATCATTGCAGCATCCCATAATCCCCTCTGTTTCAGCCCTGTTTCCAAAGTGCTGATTCTCTGTCTGTTACTTTAGATGAAAATAAGGAGCCCCTCCCCACGCCCCTCTGAGAGAGATTTGGTTAAAAAGAACACTATGGTGCTCTAGGAGGAGATTCTGGTGATAAGGTGGGGGGGGGGTTACCTTGGTTGGTTATTGGCTAATGGTTACACAAGCCAACACATCGTTATGACATGTAAAGTGACCAAAATCTGATCAGCTCATTTTCAGACAGGTTTTTATATAAATGGATCAGGACAAAAAGAGAGAGAATCTTTGTTCCTGAAACTTTCAGAGTCTCTTTACACAGAGGGGACACATGTTGATGTAGAAGAGACATGAAGAAGAGGGGACACATGTTGATGTAGAAGAGACATGAAGAAGAGGGGACACATGTTGATGTAGAAGAGACATGAAGAAGAGGGGACACATGTTGATGTAGAAGAGACATGAAGAAGAGGGGACACATGTTGATGTAGAAGAGACATGAAGAAGAGGGGACACATGTTGATGTAGAAGAGACATGAAGAAGAGGGGACACATGTTGATGTAGAAGAGACATGAAGAAGAGGGGACACATGTTGATGTAGAAGAGACATGAAGAAGAGGGGACACATGTTGATGTAGAAGAGACATGAAGAAGAGGGGACACATGTTGATGTAGAAGAGACATGAAGAAGTGGATTTTGCATAATAGGTGACCTTCAAAGAGAGGGTGTTTTTACTGGAAGAAGGGCCCCTGGATCTTGGTGCGCACCAGGTCTCGTTTCTCCTCTTTCTGCTGGAGGTAATCCTTCAGTTTCTCGGTGGAGAAACTGACTTTGGAGTGACGGGCGCGATGAGCTCTCAGCCACGAGTTCTGGAGACACTCTGCTGCCGTGGGTCTCCCCCTGCAGAGATTATATCATATTAGAAAATATACACATTTATCTTATTTCATTCATGCAACTTTTTATTGAACTAGTTTAAATGTAGGAAATTGAGACCACTTTGCCGCGTTGTATATTGCATTTATTACCCCACGTTCTGATTTTTTAGTAATACTTTAACAAGATTCAAAGGCTTTATTTTCATTTGAACATTAGCGACAGAATGAAACAAATCTGAAGGCTTCTATACAAATTCAATATAGTCTAAGAAAAAAATAAAAAGAGCAATAGATCGAGCAAGACAATAATTGTGTGTGTGTGTGTGTGTGTGTGTGTGTGTGTGTGTGTGTGTGTGTGTGTGTGTGTGTGTGTGTGTGTGTGAGATCTGATCCGGATGGTTACTAATTCCTTTTCTTTATGGGGGTCATTTTTGACCGGGAACACCATGGGTGTTACAAAGTTGACTAAATCATCCAAAACTCAATGAAAGTGGTGATCAGCCATTGTATATATTCAAATGTCTACTGTGAAGGATATCTTAAAGCCTTAATGCAATCGAATGTAAAACTAAAAAGTTATGATTGATGAAAGTAGTAAATCGAAGACAACAGCAGGGTTTAAACAGAAGGCAAACATTTCATCTCACGATATATATCCAAAACTCTGTAACTCACACCAAAACAATCTAGATAATATAGATATAGATAGATAATAGCACTACAGGTAAGATTACAAACATATCTTTTAGATTTTAGGGCTGACCCTTTATGTTTAATTCATGCAGACTACATTTGAAGACCTAGCCCCTCACCAGGACTTGTTGTTGAGACTGCTCTTCATGAAGGTCAGCGCTCCCTCTGACAGGCCGGGGTAGCAGCGCCCGAACTGGATCTTCCCCTTCCTGATGTTCCTGTCCTGCTCCCAGGCGTGGTCTGCGTGGAACGGGCTGTCCGCACTCAGCCTGGATGAAAAGAAAAGTCTATGTAATAAAATGTCTGCGAACACAGGAAGTAGGATTTTATGAATATTGTTTTCTGACCATTTAGATGCTTAGAATATTTTACGGAAAGCATCTTGCATTAACGTCACCCTGATTGTTTGCTTTGTCTTTTCTCTAGTGATGACATGTGTAAATATTTTATATAACAATTCACTTTTGGGTATAATTGTCCCTTACTGTAAATTGATATCTAAATATTTAAATTGTCATCCCATGTAACCTGTTATCCTTTACACAAATGTCAGGCTTCGTTCTGATGTAGTGAAAACCATTTTGCAAAGGTAGAATCCCCATTTCTTAAATCAACTACTTCCTTAAAGAAGAATATTGGTTCAACTCCTATATCTGTTTTATCTAAACTCACATGATGAAGGACAGAACTCCCACAGCCCAGACGTCAGTTTCAGGTCCGACTCCCTGACCCTCCAGGATCTCAGGAGCTTTAGGGAGGACGATATATACACTGTAAAACCACACAGAGAGAGATATGAGAGAGTGAGATGATGCGAGACGAGATGTGATGAAGAGACTGTCAGAGAGCACTGAGAGAGAGAGAGATGCCCGATGAAGGAGAGAGAGAGAGAGAGAGAGAGAGAGAGAGAGAGAGAGAGAGAGAGAGAGAGAGAGAGAGAGAGAGGAGGGTGTTATACAGAGATGTGCACGATGCCACATCCACTCACATGCTTAACGCTCATATTTAAAAAGTCAAAAGGTATATTCAAAGAAAAAGATAAGAAAAGGGACTTGGGTTTGTTAGCTAGGATCAGCTGGATGAAGTTAGGCAGAATTATTTCCCTCCATCAATCCGTCCTCTCTTAAAGAACGTGTACCTTTGCTGCGGCAGTCTGTTGGAGGCCATGACAGGACAAGCTTTAGTACATTAGAAGAAACAATGCAGAATCAGACACATTTTAAAGGTCACCTATTACGCAAAATCCACTTCTTCATGTCTCTTCTACATCAACATGTGTCCCCTCTTCTTCATGTCTCTTCTACATCAACATGTGTCCCCTCTTCTTCATGTCTCTTCTACATCAACATGTGTCCCCTCTTCTTCATGTCTCTTCTACATCAACATGTGTCCCCTCTTCTCTAATCTTCATGTCTCTTCTACATCAACATGTGTCCCCTCTTCTTCATGTCTCTTCTACATCAACATGTGTCCCCTCTTCTTCATGTCTCTTCTACATCAACATGTGTCCCCTCTTCTTCATGTCTCTTCTACATCAACATGTGTCCCCTCTTCTTCATGTCTCTTCTACATCAACATGTGTCCCCTCTTCTTCATGTCTCTTCTACATCAACATGTGTCCCTCTTCTTCATGTCTCTTCTACATCAACACGTGTCCCCTCTTCTTCATGTCTCTTCTACATCAACATGTGTCCCCTCTTCTTCATGTCTCTTCTACATCAACTTGTGTCCCCTCTTCTTCATGTCTCTTCTTACATCAACATGTGTCCCCTCTTCTTCATGTCTCTTCTACATCAACATGTGTCCCCTCTTCTTCATGTCTCTTCTACATCAACATGTGTCCCCTCTTCTTCATGTCTCTTCTACATCAACATGTGTCCCCTCTTCTTCATGTCTCTTCTACATCAACATGTGTCCCCTCTTCTTCATGTCTCTTCTACATCAACATGTGTCCCCTCTTCTTCATGTCTCTTCTACATCAACATGTGTCCCCTCTTCTTCATGTCTCTTCTACATCAACATGTGTCCCCCTCTTCTTCATGTCTCTTCTACATCAACATGTGTCCTCTCTTCTTCATGTCTCTTCTACATCAACATGTGTCCCCTCTTCTTCATGTCTCTTCTTCATCAACATGTGTCCCCTCTTCTTCATGTCTCTTCTACATCAACATGTGTCCCCTCTTCTTCATGTCTCTTCTACATCAACATGTGTCCCCTCTTCTTCATGTCTCTTCTACATCAACATGTGTCCTCTCTTCTTCATGTCTCTTCTACATCAACATGTGTCCCCTCTTCTTCATGTCTTCTTCTACATCAACATGTGTCCCCTCTTCTTCATGTCTCTTCTACATCAACACGTGTCCCCTCTTCTTCATGTCTCTTCTACATCAACATGTGTCCCCTCTTCTTCATGTCTCTTCTACATCAACATGTGTCCTCTCTTCTTCATGTCTCTTCTACATCAACATGTGTCCCCTCTTCTTCATGTCTCTTCTTCATCAACATGTGTCCCCTCTTCTTCATGTCTCTTCTACATCAACATGTGTCCCCTCTTCTTCATGTCTCTTCTACATCAACATGTGTCCCCTCTTCTTCATGTCTCTTCTACATCAACATGTGTCCCCTCTTCTTCATGTCTCTTCTACATCAACATGTGTCCCCTCTTCTTCATGTCTCTTCTACATCAACATGTGTCCCCTCTTCTTCATGTCTCTTCTACATCAACATGTGTCCCCCCCTCTGTGTAAAGAGACTCTGAAAGTTTCAGGAACAAAGATTCTCTCTCTTTTTGTCCTGATCCATTTCTATAAAAACCTGTCTGAAAATGAGCTGATCAGATTTTGGCCACTTTATGATGACATAGCGATGTTTTGGCTTGTGTAACCATTAGCCAATCACCAACCAAGGTAACCCCCCCCCCCCCTCACCTTATCACCTGAATCTCCTCCTAGAGCACCATTAGGCGCGTTCACACCGGAGTACTTTTCCCACTTTAGTTCCGATATAGTTCCGAAATGTCGCGTTCACACCAAAAAGAGCCGGAACTAAAATCAGTTCATGAGAACCTTTTTACCCCCTTTTCCGTCAGTTTTCCGTCCCCGCTAGAGAGCAGGTACTTTCGTGGGAGAAAAACGTTCCTATGTCTGATTGGCTGGGCGGATTGCAAACGACACCCTGTAAAACTCCCAAAAAGTTTTGTGAAGCCGCCATTTTATTATCCTCGCATTAGCATTATTAGCATTAGCATTAGCCCAGCGCAGAAACGCAGAGAGAGAGACTAACTTATGGCAACACAAAAAAAAACATGGTGGAGATGAGGAGGTGTCAGCGTTCTGGCGATTTACTCGGAAGGCTTCAGTAGAAGCTGCTGGGACTCCCAGCAGCTTCTACTGAAGCCAGTCCCCAACTCCGGTGTGAACGCGATCTGTACTTAGTTCATGAGAACTAAAGAGTTCTGATGAACTAAGTTCTGATGAACCTTTGTGGGAAAAGTACTTGGTGTGAAAGCGCCTATTGTGTTCTTTGTAACCAAATCTCTCTCAGAGGGGCGTGGGGAGGGGCTCCTTATTTTCATCTAAAGTAACAGACAGAGAATCAGCACTTTGGAAACAGGGCTGAAACAGAGGGGATTATGGGTAATGCTGCAATGATCTGTTTGGTGTTTGGAGCTAAACAGATCAGAGACATGTTTTGTATATATCTGAGACCTATACTATATTGATGAAAAAGAGTATAATAGGGGACCTTTAAGATGAATCCAGGCGAGTACCTTTGCTGTCGGAGTGTCCGTGGATGTGCTCCACGGTGAGAGGCTGCCCGGGGGTGAAGGACAGAGCGGAGCCCAGGTCCACGACCTTCAGGTGGTTGCAGTCGTCCACCAGCATGTTGTCAGACTTCAGGTCGAGGTGCACCACGCGGCGGCTGTGAAGGTAATCCACCGCACTCAGGATCTGGAGGAGCAGCTCGACCACCTGGGTCTCTGAGTACTGATCTCTGAGGACGCAGAAAAGAGACAGGGGTGTTAGTAGTGTGTGTCACAAATGGCCAGAGATGGCAAAAGTAAACACATCCTTTACTCAAGTAGAAGTACAGACACTCGTGTTTAAACATACTCTGGTAAAAGTAGAAGTACTGACTAAACTTCTTTACTCAAGTAAAAGTAAAGAAGTATGGGCTTCGAAATGTACTTAAAGGTAGGGTAGGTAAGAATGGAGCAGCTCGAGTGCGCTAGAATTTGAAAGTACGCAGCCGAAAAAAATCTGCCCCTTCCTTACAGAGCCCCTCCTCCAACACACACGAACGCGCACTTGACCAATGAGGGCACGAGATAAGTTTGTGCACGAGATGGAAGGCTGACAGGCAGGTAGGCCATCCAATTATTTTAGCCGGGCCGGCTCAGATGATTGGTCGTGCTTTTTACAGTACTACGGCTTCCACAGATGACATTTTTTGATGTATTTATTGTCAAAGCATTTAATATATTCATTGCTATCGGGATGTTAAGAGCATTCCATGGAATATAACAAAAAGTGTTTCTGAAGTGAATTACCTACCCCACCTTTAAGTAAAAAGTACCCATAACTAGCATCTGTTTTAAAGAGTACCTGACCTCCCTTTATATTAATAGAACAATAATGTCATTGTTAGCTAATGAATGTTTCCATGCTGAACAACGGCAACATGACAACGTTTTCATTGGTCCCTCTTCTTTAGAGAAGACCAGGAAATGATGGATACACGGATCGTGTTCAAATCAATAGGCACGCAATGACTCTAAATAATAATGATCACGCCACCAAACACACATTCAAACTAAAGGAACCAGCCTGTTTGGGAAATGTAAGAAGTAGAAAGTACAGGTATTTGTGTTCAAAATGTAAGAAGTAGAAAGTACAGGTATTTGTGTTCAACATGTAAGAAGTAGAAAGTACAGGTATTTGGGTTCAACATGTAAGAAGTAGAAAGTACAGGTATTTGGGTTCAACATGTAAGAAGTAGAAAGTACAGGTATTTGTGTTCAAAATGTAAGAAGTAGAAAGTACAGGTATCTGTGTTCAAAATGTAAGAAGTAGAAAGTACAGGTATTTGTGTTCAAAATGTAAGAAGTCAAAGTAAAAAGTCGTCAGAAAAATAATTAGTGGAGTACAAGTAGTACAAATACTTTGTTACTGTACTTAAGTAAATGTTATAAATAACCATATTGTGAATGTTAAAACTAGACTCATTGCTAATGTGAATGCATCTTACAGACTACCACTATACTACCAGAGAGGCCAGGCAGGAGGGAATTGACAACGGAGACTTCATCGAGAACGCAGAGTTCTCCGGCAATATGTATGGAACAAGGTGAATATTTACACTCAGTTATTTCCTGGTTTCTGAATGATGTGTGTGGAGCCGTTCTCTACCTGGCAGCCAGGCTGTAGAGCAGCTCCTTGCCGGGGCAGAGCTCCTGCACCAGCACCAGGGTCCGGGGGGTGAGGAAGGCGCTGTGCAGCTGCAGCAGGTGGGGGTGGTGCAGTCTCCTCAGCAGCTGGTACTCCCTCAGCACCAGCAGACGCTGCTCCGCCTGGTACGGAGTGACCTTAGCCACGAACACCTGGCTGGTCTCCACGTCTCTGCAGAGGGAGAGGACGCTGAAACGCCCCCTGAGAGAGGAGAGGGAGAAAAAGGCAGATTAGCCAAAAATAAGTGATAAAACTCTTCTTTTAATAAAACATTTACTTATCCCTGTGACACACACACAATTGTGCAAGTAAAATGCAGGAATATGTAAAAAAATATACATATAAAATAGAATAAAATAAAACAGAATGTCAAATTAAATACCATGTTGGTCTTAATATAGTGTATTCTAACTTATGAGTGCAATCTAGTTCTATTAAAGAAGAGGCAGACATTTCAATTTACGATATATATCCAAAACTCTGCAACTCACACCAAAACAATCTCGATAGAGAATAGCACTGCAGGTAAGATTAAAAAAATATATTTTACATTTTGGAGTGAACTGTCCTTCCCTTTATGATTAATTAATGCAGTCTACATGTTGAGACTTCACCCCTCACCAGGACTGTTGAGGCTGCGGTCAGCACAATAAGAAAGAGGTACGTTAAGGCATATGAGCCTAACATTAATGATAAAACTGTTATTTTGATAAAACATTGACTTATTCCTGTGACACTGAATGAGCAGGTCAACTCGGATGATGGTCTACAGATTTTCTTAAACAGTGGTGCAGTGACCCCTGGTGGTCAGTTTAGTAGAAAATCTAAATATGTTATTAATTAAAACAATTAAATACAGTGTGTTTTCAAAGTGTATGTGCCGAGTAGAGAGTAGCAGATGTGTGCTGTTTTCATAAAAAAACATTTAAATTGTATTTTTAATATTGGCTATTAGCAAAATAGTTGACTTTGGCAAATAATCAGATTTTTGGAGAGCGGTGAAAGTAATTTTTGAAAGGAAACAGAATATTACATGACATGTTACTTGTTAGACGCTTTTATCCAAAGCGACTTACATACTCAATACTGTGGGCAATCCCCACAGGAGCAATTTGGGGTGAAGTGTCTCAGGGACACAACGACATGCTGACTGCAGTGGGGTTTGAACCTGTGACCCCCTGATCCCAACACCAACACACTAGACCACACGCCTACATATATATAAAAATTAAAGGTACCATTTATTGTTCAATAGATATGTTGTGAATTTTGTATGTTATCACATTCATCTTTTGTTAAAAGATGACCATAAACAACTTTGAGGAGTTCAGAATTAGTAGTACAAAAATGTAAATGTCAACGTTATAAATGAATCTCCGATCAGAACTAAATATTGGTTGACTACAGAAATATCAGGATCTGTGAAGGACTTGAAGAATCTGTGAAGTCACGTCTATGTTTTTAAACATTAAAGCTAAAATAAATAATGTGCAAACCATAACACAGTAAATTAAATACACAGCTTCCGAATCCCACCTGTTGATCTCAGACAGGAAGTTGTAGTTCTTGTGTGTCGTCTGTCGTTCTGACCCGGTGACCTTTGACCCCAGAGTCTCCGTCTGGATGAGAGGAATGTGAATCTCTGTAAAACAGAAACAAGTTGAATTAGATGATATTTGTGAAACAGCAAACAGCATTTTGTATATATTGATTGTTGTGCTTCTATGTATGTCTTAATGTGTGCATATGTACAAATGTGTCTGTTGATTATGTATATATAGGTATATACATATTTGTATATATATTTGTATTTTTGTATTTGGGATTGTGGCAAGCGGTATTTCAATCTCTCTGTCTGACTTTGACTTTTGACTTTGAGCACCATGATGTTTGAGAGAGTTTCTCTTGCCTTCAGGGTGCGTTGACATGACGACGGGAGCTGAGGCGTCACTGAAGGGTCCGGCTCCGGTCTTTGTGATGCAGCCGACTCTGAACACATAGGAGGCTCCTCTCGGTAAATCCTTCACCACCAGGCAGCTCTCCGTCACCTCCTCCGACAGCACCGTCCACTCCCGCCCTGAGGGGGTATGACATCAGTTTTATAATGACATCCACAACACTGCTGCAAACTTTAAAGGGGACATGTAAATGTTATCCTATAGAGACAAGCTGTGTATAGGATGTACATCATGAAAAACTCAACCAACCCAAAAACTGTGAATAACTGTGAGTTATTGTGACTGCCTCATTAGAGAACATGAGATTCCACAAGTCATTTAGATTGAACTTCACTTCCTAAGTCAGACTCATTACAAGATATCCACCCTCCATCAGAGTATCTCCCATGCAACTCGAGGACTACATTTGCACCTTTAATTATCTTGGCAAGCCAATAAAAGCATATTTCTTTTGAGGAGGGGTTCTTAAAGAGACAAGCGCTAAAAGTGTTTCAGATGAAGGGTGCATACAGGTTTATTCAGACATACATTATGAGAAGAAAAAAACAGGCTTTTGGAACATTAAAGGTCCCATGTCATGCTTTTCCGGTTATTACCCGTCCCCTTGTGTGTTATGAAGGTTTTTCTGCATGTAAACGGTCTGCAGAGTCACAAACCCTCAAAGTACACCCTGTAGCGAGTAAAACTCGAACACAGAAAAGACCTGTCTATGCTGCCCCAGAACGCCTCGTTGGAGATTTCTCTTTTTCAATTTTTTTCTTCCGGGAACCAAGTGATGTAACGACGACCCCTCCGCGGATTGGTCCAAATTGACCAACCCGCAGACTTCCTCACACACACACACTCAATCTTTTCTCAGCTGCAGCTCCGCCGATTTCTCCTCCCTGAGAGGGCGGGACGCACACACACAAACTCCCAGCCAGGCTGCGGGTGTGTGTGTGTTCAGGCTGGTTTCGGGCTGGATTTCGCTGTGTCTCGCTGTCTCGCAGACGGCCACTGGGCTCACAGGGAGGGGGGGGCAGGAGCTCCAACAAGCCGTTTAGGACAGAGAGTGAATACACATACTATACAGAGATGCTGTATGAGAAACCAATGAGATTTTGGAAAATTGCACAATATACATTTATTTTAGTAGACCTCAACAATGGAATTATGATCAGTAGAAATGGCCATGACATGGGACCTTTAAAGCATGTAAACGTGTTCCTTTAGAAACCTAATAGGACAAGTATAAATCTTGAGATTCACTTGATACAGTACGTCTCCTTTATTGCTCTTGCAAAAAACAGCTACTGTGTTTCTGTGTGCACCCACCCTCTGTGCAGTACTGCACACAGTAGGTGACGGGGTCACTGGTCTGAACTGGTTTCCAGCCCAGCAGGACGCCACCTCCGTCTAACTGGAAAACTTCAGCTTTGTTTGGACGAACCAGCAGATCTGGAGAACATGAAGAAGTAACACAAACATACTCAGACAGAGCTAAGGTACATTATGTTAGCCTGTTTCAAGCCTTTTGGACCAACAGGAAATATTCCACAGATAAAAAGTGTATTTCCTACCTTTGTTCTTTTTAAAAGCAGGTATTTTAAAAGAAGGCAGGAGTTTGGAGGCTCTGTTTTTTGGACTCTCCAGCCCAGAGCTGCGCTTCCTCTCAGGAGGGGTCGGAGCTGAGCCTTTCACTATTGGCCCTGTGAGAGGAAACAGACAACATGACAGTGTAGATATACAAAATACACTAGCAACGGCTCAGGTAAATACAACAAAAGAATAACGCCCTTATCCCATCAACATCCCAAACAGTGTCTAGACCCTGGGAGTGTTTCATATTCTACCTTTGGCTGCACCTCCCCTTTAAGATACATCATATCCAAAGACTATTCACATTTCTATCATCCCGTGTCCATAAATATTCTTTAAACAGTGATTGAAATCAGTTCATCCCTGAGTGGACATTTGTACCATATTTGGAGATGTTTGAGAATGAGACGTTGCACATAGAGACACACAGACAAGTCAAACATTAAAACACATGATAGAACTATTTAGATGTCTCACCTCCTTTGCTCACATCCTCCTTAGACCTGGTGAACAGTTTGGTCAGACTGGAGGCTGACGCTCTCATCTTCTTCCTCAGAGACATGGTGGGGGTGTCGGGCTTCATGATCTCCCCCAGCGTGGGTCCTAACGCCTGGTTGTCCAGCGGAGAGTACGAGTGTCCGGTCCAGGACTGCCTGCGGAAGATCTTCAGCAGACCCAGTTTGGGCGACTTTCCCGTCGGGGGTCTGAGCTCCAGAGCTGTATCAGATGCATGTCTCTGGAGACCCCCACTTTCTTTCTTGTCTCTGGATCTGGGGGGCCTCTCTGGAGCCTGAAGAGACGAGAGGCTGGGACTGGGACTCGCTGGGATTTGACCACATAAATTAGGGTTGGATCGGGTGCGATTTCGTGGTGGCGCTTGAGGGAACGAACTCCTGGGTTTAACCTCCTGGAAGGAAGATGGCGACGGGGGGATCAGAGGCTCCCCTTGATCGTCGTACCCTTCACTTTCCCCAGATCTGCATCTCCCTCCTCTCATAAGACCATGGCTGAGCTCTTCATAGGAGCCAAGTCGACTTGAGGACTCAGAGCCACCGTGCTCCAGAAGAGACGATTCGGCCAGAGACCCTTGGGAACCGGCGAAGGTTTCCCGGGGTAGCTGATCCGGATCCAGCCTCCTTCTGTTCCCAGCGACGAAGCTTAAGGGAACAGAAGACCCACTTTGTACCGGAGCGATGGAGCCTCGTCTTCTCGGGGGTCGTTGAGGACTCGGGATCGCCAACAAGTTCCTACCAGTGGCTTCATCATCGGTCAAATCCCCCTTCAGTATAGAGATAGAGTATCAGTATCAGTAAAATAAATAATGCCCTTAAGGTAAGGTAAGGTAAGGTAAGGCAAGGTAAGGCAAGGCAAGGCAAGGTAAGGTAAGGCAAGGCAAGGTAAGGTAAGGTAAGGTAAGGTAAGGTAAGGTAAGGTAAGGCAAGGCAAGGCAAGGCAAGGTAAGGCAAGGTAAGGCAAGGCAAGGTAAGGCAAGGTACGGTAAGGTAAGGTAAGGCAAGGCAAGGCAAGGTAAGGCAAGGTACGGTAAGGTAAGGCAAGATACGGTAAGGCAAGGTAAGGTAAGGTAAGGTAAGGTAAGGTAAGGTAAGGCAAGGCAAGGCAAGGCAAGGTAAGGTAAGGTAAGGTAAGGCAAGGCAAGGTAAGACAAGGCAAGGTAAGGTAAGGTAAGGTAAGGTAAGGTAAGGTAAGGCAAGGTAAGGTAAGACAAGGTAAGGTAAGGTAAGGTAAGGCAAGGTAAGGTATGGTAAGGTATGGTATGGTAAGGTAAGGTACGGTAAGGTAAGGTACGGTAAGGTAAGGTAAGGCAAGGCAAGGTACGGTAAGGTACGTAAGGTAAGGTACGGTACGGTATGGTAAGGTACGGTAAGGTAAGGTAAGGTACGGTAAGGTAAGGCAAGGCAAGGCAAGGTACGGTAAGGTACGGTAAGGTAAGGTACGGTATGGTATGGTAAGGTAAGGTAAGGTAAGGTAAGGCAAGGCAAGGTAAGGTAAGGTAAGGTAAGGTAAGGTACGGTATGGTATGGTAAGGTAAGGTAAGGCAAGGTAAGGCAAGGCAAGGTAAGGTAAGGTAAGGTAAGGTAAGGTATGGTATGGTACGTTTATTTATAAAACACATTTATTTTAAAAGCACGAGGAAATAAGACCATACTTATAGCCACAGACTGAAAACCCTCATCCATGATGAAACATAAACACAGGTCATAAGGACAGGTCAAACACATAATGGCTGATAATAAGAAAACGTTGATCTCTCACCTCCAAATCCTCCTTCAGACTTTGAGACCCTTCTTCCTCCTCATCCGGCTTTGGTGAGCTCGGAGATCTTCGGGAATACTCGTCCAGAGACCTGCTCCTCCTGTGAGGGGGGGCGTTAGCGTGGGGGAGGCTAACCCCGCTATCAAAGGAGCAGGACTTCTGCATGGTGGGCTGCACGGACCCCCGTCTCTGCCCACGGTTTGTCTCCGGGTCGTCCTCCACGTACTCGATGAGAGGCTCGTTCAGGCGTCCGGACAGGCTTCTCCGGAGAGGCTTGCGGCCCCTCTCCTGCTTCTTGGCCTGGAATTTGTCCCGTAGCGTCATGTGTCTGGCGGACATGGGAGACAGCTGATGGGAGGTGCTGTGGAAGGTGCTTCGGATGACGCTGCCACGAGGGATTCGACCCCCATCACTGCCTGACCCTTCCTCTCCATCGGACAGGTAGAGGGACTGACTGCTGTCCTTACTGAACCTCCGCTCTCTCTGAGGAGTGTGTTGGGAGGAAACGTCCGATGAAGCGACCGACTGCCTGCTGACACTCCTTTCTAAAACACTCCTCCTTCCTAACAACTCCACATCCTCCTCCTCCTCCTCCTCCTCCTCCCCTAAGGTCATCTCCTCCTCCTCATCCAGGTGGAGTTTGGGATAAGACTCTGGGATTTGCTCTCGCTCTGGGAAAGGATCGTACTCCTCCTCGGTCTCCTCCTCTTCCTCCTCCTCCTCCTCCTCCGTGGGGCTGTAGTGCTGGAAACAGTCCCAGGAGTCGGCCTCATCGTACTCGGAGGAGGACCCGCTGCTCGGGGAGGAGCTGCTGTGCTCCTGCGGCTCCCGCGGCACCGTCACCGCCGTCTCTCTGAGCGGAGCGTCCAGCAGCTCTGGGATCAGCCTCAGCGTGAGGACCGACCCGATGGAGGTCAAGGAACGCTGGGGAGGTGGAGAGGAGAGACAGTGGTGAAGACAGAGGATTTGGCTTTTCTTTGGGAACATTAGATTAGATTCCTTTATTGTCACTGCACAGAGAAATTCCAAGCATTCCCGACGGTGCAATCGCACATAACAGACACTATAAGTATCATTTTGGCAATACAACCTAAAAACGTTTAATATATACAGGGTTCAGACACTTTTTCACCAATGATTTTCAATGACTTCTCCATGGCCTTTACCTAATTTTCCATGACCAAATAAATGACTCTTTCTCAGCGTACCACTGAAAATGGTTTATTTTAACATGGAACAGGAAAATAAGGTCTGCATATGAAACATGTTGTGCCTATCTAAAACAAATCAAATAGGCTTACTAGCTTCTACACGCTAACGCAACTAAAATCTCTCACCAGCAAAATACCTCGTCAGTTAAATGACATTTTACGTTTCATTACTATACGATACAGTATGTATTATATAGTATTACTATTTCGGCGATTAGATAAAATATAAATTATATTTGATGCAACTTTAGTTACATTTCCATGACTTTTCCAAAACTTTGGGAAAAATATTGTTTTCCATAACTTTTCCAGGGCCTGGAATTAGCATTTTGAATTTCCATGACTTTTCCAGGTTTTTAATGACCGTAAGAACCCTGTATATAACATATAAAGTGACTATAAATTAGACCTATGATACATTGAAGAGTACGCTTACAGAACAATACAACATTCCCATACAAATACAAG